TTATTATTATTATTATACGTATCGGAACAGCAAACGTGCACCGTTAAAAACTGTGTACATAAGAAGCGCTGTATACTCTGCGATCGCGGCTGTAACGCGGTCAACGTCGCGAGCTGTGTACATAAAAATATATGTGGAAAAAAAAAAGCGATAGAAAGGAGTGCGATTTGCGCCTGCGAGTGTGTGTTTGTGTGTGTTGTGATAGTCGTTTAAAACGCGGACGGAGAGAAGAAGAAAAAAATACGCGTATATGTGAGAAATAATAATAATAGCAATCATTAAAAACGGCACAAAGTCGTACGTGACGCGGAAACCAAAACCGCGGAATCGGCGGTATAACCGGCTTAAAACGGAAGACGACTACGCGAAAAACTTACTAGAAGCAACAAAAAAAAAATAATAATAATAATAATAATACAATATATTACGTACGCGAACTCAACTCGCGCGCGCGCGTGTGTGTGTGTGTGTGTGTGTGTGAGCTCACAATATAAATTTGTCTTGTCACAACTAGGCGGGGAAATATCGTCGTCGTCGTTAATAGTGTGTGCACGAACGGACTATTTAGCGCAGCGCCAGAGTCGTGTGGTAATAGCAGTGTATAAAATTATAATTATAATAATAAACGTCAGGTCGTCGAACGTATAAAAATCGTACGCCGCCGTTATTGGGAGGCCGGGGTGTTTCGGAGTAGGTACAGATATGACATATCATTTATATTATATAGAAATATATAGATCGATGATAATAACATAGGTGTGTATAATATTATCTGTACCTACATAAACGTATTAAGGTTTGTATATTTATGACGCGAACCGTTGATTTTACAATACTATTTATGTTTAAAAAATACCAGCCATACCTAACCCGACGAAAATAATACGGTGCAATATATTATTGTATACAGGCGTATATCGGTTTTAACGTCGGTAAACTTAGGAACCTACCTCGCTTTGTAAACTAATTTGACGGAGATGCGGGAAATACTTGGTATATTTTCGAACTTGGTCCAAACTACCGTCTAAACTTCACTGATGTCTCTAACAACAATTTCAAATGTGTTTGGTCTGTCGTCCGAGTAATTTTTGAGTACATCCAGCATATCCACGCTGCATAATAATATAAGCTACAAGCATGCATTTATATATTTTACATATAAATATTACATTGTATAAAAGTCTATCTTATATTTCTATAGCCAATGGCAACCGTATAGGCAAAAAAATATTCAAATATTCAAATTTCGTGAACAAAACGATGTCCATGTGTGAGCCAACCAATGATAGCCTATATAGTTGTTGAAAAACAAAGTTATGAACGCTCAAAGACCCCAGAAAGTCTTCAGGAATATGTGTGCAATATTTGGTGACAAAAACACATTATTCTCCGTACAGACGTACAATCTATTATTTTTTACAAATCAAAATTTTAAGTGCAACGATTTGCGAACTGCCCACGATACTTATACCATAACCGTTACGAGTGTACAATACAATTTAATAATAGGTTAATAGTAGCAGGTCTGCATGTGCCCATAAATGTATTTAAAGTGACCAGCGTCCGTCTACTCGTGTAAATACAAAACTGCATATTATAACATATATAGGCAAATGATCGTGTACACCTATCGTTTCACTTTATATGTTTCTAAAAAATTATATGATAACGATTATTGATTGCAATGTGGACGCTGCGTTGGTACGTATTATACGGTACATTAATTTTGAGTGTTTGAGGTTTTGAGCACATTACTGCATAATGTTTATCTGCTTTACATTTAAAAATATTTCTCTTACATGTATTTTTTTTTTAAGTAGGTTTCAATTACTCGACTTTTATTTCCGAAGGCAAAATATTTATTTAAATTCTCGTTTTCCGTAGCTCTTGGCGATGAATAAAAACACCGATAAAATATATGCTTTTGATCGCTATCAAGTACACAGAATGATAATCCACTAGGGATCCGATGGAATAAAATTGCATACATAAATAAAGACAGGTTCTCACGACTGGTATATTTGATAGACGTATCAATGTTGTTATTCGGGGTTTTGCATCAGAACTAACCCGAACGGGTAACACTCCAGAAAACCCATAGAAAATGAAACACCCGAAACCCAAATGATTTTTTTTCCAAAACATCAGTATTAACTGCAACCCGAAAAAACTTTTCAGTGGACCCGAAACCCGATCGTTTTTTATTTTACAAATTTCATGAGAATATTAGTTTAATTTATATATATATGCCTAGTTCCTTAAAAATAAATTAAATAAATATTAATTATTAAACAACATAGGCATACATATAACAGTAGTAGTCTTTGATATTTTTATTCATACAATTTTGCATGCGATTAACTCATCTACGACATTTAAAAAGGCCAATGCGAAAAATAAGCATATACAAGAGTGGATGACAATGGGTCTGCTATGTTCAGTGCGTAAAAAACAGGCTTTATCTTTAAAAGTAAAAAAACACCCCAATAATGATCAACTACGTTCATATTATGTTAAATACAAAAATATTTTCACTTCAATTTTAAGAATTACTAAAAACAATTATTATAAAAAAAATTTAATGATATCTCTTACAGTCCAAAATTAACTTGGAAATTAATAACAGAGCTCACTTTATCAAAAAATAAAAATAGTAATAACATTAAATCATTAATGCACAATAATGAACATATAATTCCTTCAGAGGATCCAGTCAGAGCATCAAATGTTTTTAATATGTTTTTTACAAATATTGGTATTAACCTTGCAAATAAAATAAAAAATTCTAATCAACAGTTTGTTGAAACTAATACAGATGTAGATTTTGATATATATTTTAATGAGGAAATTAACAAGCCTGAAATTATAAAAATTATAAATAATTTAAAAGATGACACTGCAGCAGGTTTTGACGGAATATCGGTGAAAACAATAAAGTCTATAGCTGTGGCCTGTGAATATTATTGAACCATTAATATATATTTATAACTTAAGTATTTCCAAATGTACTTTTCCAGACAAACTTAAAATAGCAATTATTAAACCACTATTCAAACACGGAGATGCTACTAATATAAATAATTATAGGCCGATTTCTATGATAAGCAATTTTGCAAAAATACTAGAAAAAATAATAAAGTTGAGATTGGTAGTTTACTTAGAAAAAAATAAATTGTTGTCTAAAAACCAGTTTGGTTTTAGACCTGGGTTGAGCACTGAAAATGCTTTGTACAGTGCCAGTAATTTTATTTATAATGCACTTGACAGTAGTAAAAAAACAATGGCTATATTTTTAGACTTAGCGAAAGCATTTGATACTGTTAATCATAATGAGCTTTGCAACATCTTACCAAGTTTTGGTCTAAAGAATAACAGTTTTAAATGGTTTAAAAATTATTTAGAAAACAGAAAACAATTAGTTCAAATCAATGACAGTAAAGGCGATGAAATGAAAATTCAATGTGGTGTACCGCAAGGTAGCGTCTTAGGCCCTATACTGTTCATATTATACATAAACTCTATATGTGATTTAAAAATAGATGGACAGATTGTGACTTATGCTGATGATACTTGTCTTCTGTTTTAAGGTGATTCATGGGATGAAGTTCGCTCAATAGCAACAAAAGAACTTAAAAAAGTAATTAAGTATCTCAATCATAGGAAACTCTCTATAAATTATCAAAAAACAAATTATATAAACTTTTCAATTAATAAAGATCAGAACCATTATGATGAATTAAAAATCTGTTTCTGTGAGAATGAAGATAGTTGTAATACAACTTTTTGCCAAACAATATATAAGGTCTCTAGTATCAGGTATTTGGGTATAACTTTTGACAAACACATGAAATGGAAATTACACGCCAATAATATTATAATGCGTATGCGTACTTTAACTTTTAGTTTTTTCCAAGCTACGGAACTATTTACCTGTGCAAACTATGCGTATAATTTATTTATCTTTATTCCAATCAATATTCCAATATGGTTTATTGGTCTGGGGAGGTCTGAATGAGTGTGCGGTTAGACCTTTAAAAATTTTACAAAGAAAGATTATTAGGATAATAGGATCTGTTTATGCAAAAATAACTTAGTAGGATCTACGAGAGAAAATTTTAAACTGTTTAGAGTGCTACCATTCGAGAGTGTGTATAAGAAGGTAACTATTCTATATGTAATACAAAATTATGAAACATTTGTAGATATGGAAATTATAGGGAAAAAAAGAGAAGTAAGAGCTTTTGATGTGAATATAATTTACTACAAAAAAGCATTTGGACAAAAATTTATTAATTATTTAGGTCCGAAATATTTTAATTTAATGCCACTAAATTTAAAAAAACTCATTTTCACTAATACTGGGAATCTTAAAATAGCAAGTATAAAAGAGCAAATTGACTTATGGTTATTTTCTTTATTAAGTGTATAAAGACTAAAATGCAACATTTATTTTTTCAAATTTATTTCTCATACTTTTCTTGTTCAAAATATATCAATCTTAGATTTAATGTAAACATTTAATAGTGTACCTATATTTATTTGTGTCTATAATGTAACTCTCTACCTCCATCACAAGCATATGCTTAAAGGAGGTAGATAATTTATTGTAAAATGTAATCTTATTGTTATTATTTATTTGTATTATAAATGTTTTCTTTACAATAAATATTTTTTCAAAAAAAAAAAAAAAATATGCTGGACACAGGACTCTGGTACATATTAGTTACATCCAGCACCCAAAACCCGAATAAATTATAAGAGTTCAAGGTCTTGTTGTTATTTTACATTTATTGTTTTTAATTTTATTTAAATATATTAAAAATTGTTTTTAATAATGAACAACATTAGTGTAGCTAAATAGCCTATCCGAAACGCCGCGTGATCAAGACATAATACATTAAATACTATGAATTTACATATTAGTAAATTATTAAATAATTAAAAATCGTTATTACAGTATTTATCAGTTACCCTTTTAAAGGCACTATTATGTTTTACAGACCATCCAGTTCACAGTCTTGTGGATATTGTTCTTGTCGATCGTACTTGGTAACGGAGCCGTACTGGTGGCCCTGTCGTTCAATAAGGCCCGCAAGAACCGAATGAACTTTTTTATCATGCACCTGGCACTGGCTGGCAAGTATAATTTTTTTTACATATTAATGCAATACTTGTATTATTTAGTTTCCTTTTTTTAAATAAAATGTCTGATCATCTCTATAGTACAACAATAATACGTACAAATCGACATTATATTAATATTATATATTACATAATGCATAACGATTGTGCGACGCATCTGTGTTGTTTCTGTTTGTTTGTTTGTTTGTTTATTAATTTATTTTTTGGAAAATCTCACAATATCACAAACAACTATAATACAGAATTACAGGCTAATATTATTTTAATATTCAACAATATTACTGTTTGTTTGGAAGAGTATTGATTTTTTTGGCATTTTCTTCATGAGAAATATTAAATTATACACAACTTTTAATTCTACCATTTTACATTACCGTTATTTCCACGCTCATATTTGTTGTGGTATTAAATCACTATCCACTTAACAATAACTAAATGGCAACAAGTATTTGTAATTCCATGCAATCTAAAGCAATGTATATTCAAGAAAATGTGTACCTATTAAATATGAAATATATATGCTGTAAGAATAGTTTTAATTTACAGTCATTTATTTACGAGCGAAGAGCAGCTATAATCATTGAAGACTTATCTGACCATAAAAAGTTTATTAATGAAAAACAAGTTATTTGTATTATATTAATTATACTTCAAAATATTTAGATTGGTATTTTGTTGCTAATTGATATATAATATAAAGGAATTTAAAATATAATATGTAGCCGCTAAAAAATTTAATGTTCCAGCAGTTGCGCTGTTATTATTATATCGAGTAATAAAAACAAAATAATGACAATATAAAATACTATCTGAGTGTGCGAGTATATTCGTTGTAATAACGACGATGAGTGTGTTGAACGTCAAATAAAAATCACTCTGCATAGTAATGTAATTTACTCGCTGTATTCAAATTATCGCGACGATGCGTCAGTCTCGGTTTCCACAGAGCCAATGCCTAGAAATACGTATTACGCGCTGTACCTGTATGTTTGTACAGGTACAAAGTGTATACTTGTATTAATATAAGGTACACGTAATTTATGTACACGCGGCGAAGAGTGAGTTATAAACGAATAGGAAATTATATATATTTCGCTTGTCGATTTATTATTATTACATTATGCGGCGGCTGCGTCGTGTCGTTGGCGCATATATTACCTACCGCTAAACATATACCCAGGTACCTATACCTATATAAACCAAAGTCGAAACGAGCCGTGCCACTATATCCTATACAATGTAATACATTACACTACACGCACGCGGCCGACAATCGAGGCGTAATATACACGTATGAGATGCATAGGTACTTGTAAATATATTACGCATAGGTGGGTACTTGAACTACCGTGGCCATAATAATATAATAATGTGAGATGTACAAGATGTACCTGTGTATTATATGCAATTACTCATATGCGGACGCATGAAATGCTGTTACACGCTTGCGCCGCCCAGACGTGCCATGTTTTACGACGATGACGATTTTAATTTTTAACGCGTGTTACATGGGTACTCGATCGTTCGTCATTATCATTAGGTACCTATTACTATTACTATTATTATTATTATTATTACTATTACAATATCATTATTAATTCTCAGCGTGCAGATAACCATAAAAATTTACTTCACCGAAACCCGAAACGGTTTAAGTATACACCCATACCCATTATATCTACACACATAACAATATTAATAATAATTAATAGTATCGAATAAAATATAATTCGCACGTTTAGGTATGCAAGCATGCTATAAATAAGTTCAAATACGTACATATAATATACATCATAAATTATACTATACGACGTGGCGCAGCTATCACCGCAAACCATTTTTTTCTTTCGATTTTGATCACAAACCACGTGGTATTATATATTATATACGAATCATCTTTAGCTATTCCACGCCTAATATATAATAAGCCTCTTGCTATTTGACTGCGAATTCTGAACGCCTATCAGAACAGGATTTCATGAAATTTAATACACTAAATCTTTTAATATTGTTTGTATGAACTTGTACACTGTTGGAAATATATAACCTCATACAAACCTGAGTAACAGAGATTTCTGATAATCTCTGCAAAACCATCAAGTACTTATAACATAATTACACTTCCGAAATGTCTTATAACTCAATTCTACCGTTTGTGGCGAAAGCGTAAATACAATTTATTATATTGTACCTTAATAATAACGATAACATATTTGTGTTTCCGAACAGACTTGTTGGTGGGACTAGTGAGCGTTATGATCGACATGATTTGGAGAACAACTGTAACCTGGTCAGCCGGTCCGATTGCTTGCAAAGTGGTCAAGTACTTACAGGTAACGTATTTACGTATATTTTACAAACATCATTATGTTTACCTCGGATTAAAACATTGCGTGTTCATTCGACTAAGGGACGTTTGGGGAAGGCTATATAATATTATTATATTACAGTAATTTTTGGAGACTTTAACGCTCCACGGATCGAGTATGGCGGCAGTTATCTCGTATCGTATAATAATATGTATTATTTTTATATTATTTACTTAAGATATATTCTATGGTTTTCGAAAAAACTGCAATGCACAATGAATCACACACGAGTATAGCCGTATAGGTATACAGCTAACCAAAAATCAACAATACTAATACACATTTAACTTATGAATTAAATTTAAGTTACTTGTGATTTTAAAATCTTTAAACTTAAATGTGCGTCTATGTTACAACACGTTGTATCTGTATATTATCATTATCAGTATGTGATAAGAAACACATTTTAATAATATTGCAATTTTTGTAACATGTCATGTCGCATGATCACTCACTTCAACTTTATAAATATACAATAATAGTTACTTGTTAAACAATTAATTAAATAAATAAATGAAGAAGAATGTAAATAAAAATTAAATAATAATGATGAGTAGATAATTTTTTTTTAAATTCTAAATCGTAAGTATTTAAATTACAAAAACAACTTGTCCAACTTTGCCAATATTCAACCACACTATGTACTCTGCTACATATTATGCTGTTATATATTATACAGCTAGAGCTACTGCAGAAACACGTTTTACTACTGTCATGGAGTAACGCTGTTGATCCAAGCTCATACTAAGATATATACATAGTTGATATTATGCACCCATAACTACATTCCCTGCAGTACAACAGAGGTGTAATTATCTCACTCGCGATCGGCACCACTGCAGAGTATAAGTGATTTCCCACGGTATTGATCTTTCTGAAATTGCGAACCACGCGTGCGTCCTGAGCAAGAAGGGAAAAACAAATTAAATAAACGCGAATGCATGGTACAAGTATACGTAAACGACCTCGTGTTGTTCGTTAGTGTAAATTTAATTTATAATAATAATATATATTATAACGCAACTGCATAATAATAATATTATGGGAGTTTCGTCAATCCGTCGTGCGCGCGTGTCAGTCGTTGCCATAACTATACCGCAGCAGATTTATTATTCGTAAACCGTAAACGTATGATGAGATTTTTTCCATCTCTTACTCAACATTAAAGTACACAGTGAGCCTCCGCGTTTTCTTAATTCTCCGTCTTAAGACTGTTGGCTAGCTTTATACGAGAAAACATTAACACTCCGTAGCCTATTCTGTATGCAATAGGCCATAGCAGAGAATGGTGTGGTTAACTCGGTACGTCTTGCTGACCGCTGTTTGAGTGTACGTACACTTAATGATTCAATTTTGATAAATGTATTTCGGTGGGGGGGGGTCGAAGTTAGAATGGAGGGGAAAAACAAGATCACTAAAAGTATTTACTTAAACGTCAGGTTAACACATAGACATTTGATTTTTATAATCTTCCGTCTTTGCAGGTAGAAACTATGGTTATATTTTACAGTTTATTGGTCATTAAATTTTACTTTATAGCTTATCAAATTAGTTTTATTAGTATAACGCGTAAGCTTTTTATAACTTACGTTTATTAACGATTAATATTATAGTATTTTAAGATCAGCCCAACCATCTAAAAAATTTTCTGTTAGAAAGTAGCAAATAGTTAATTTTATTTATTTATAAAACCTCTGCAAAATTCTACCATTGGCATTGTATTGTTGAAGTTTATATTTTTGTATAAAGAATTTATGCCATTCAAGATTCACTATAGATTTTACAATGTATCGAAATTATTTGAAATTATGGGACACTAGCATAAATAATATTTTATATAATAAGGTTTGAGCAATAAAATTGAACGACTGAAAGGGTTTAGTTCACAATTTTGTGTAAGTGGTTGTACATAATATGTATAAATATTAAATAATATATCTGGGTGAGATTGTATCACTATGTTATTGTCTATCAGTAATAAGTGTTCACTATAGTTTATAATATTATGACAAACATATTTATTCCAATATAAATTATAAGATTATGTATGTTATAGTATTATTCGTCTTACTTACTAACTTATACCAACTCACAATAAAAATATAAAATATTTGAATTCATAACCAACTTAAGGGATAATCTATGTAAAAAGATGTTTGGTAAATTAAATTTTACATTAAAATAGTTATTTGAATTTTTAAATAAGCGAACGATTACCCGTATACATATTTCATATTAAAATGTTATATTATAATTTATAGTTTAACTGTCATTATAAAATATAAATACTTTCATAAATAATAGACTGGAGGATTTGCAGAATTGGTATGGAGAGGATAAACAAGCTCGAAAAACTTTCGACTGAACTTTCTAACTTTTAACCGCGGCCGAGCGACCGCAGCTACCAGTTTAAAGCTTAATTAATATTATATATTTATACGTGCATTTCAGGTGGTCGTCACGTATTCGTCTACATATGTCCTGGTCGCGCTCAGCATCGACAGATACGACGCCATCACACACCCGATGAACTTCTCCAGTAGCTGTAAGCGGAGCAAAAAACAACGAAAACGGAATTTTTAATAAAAAATTATTTTTTTATTTTCACACTTTTTTCAGGGCGTCGGGCCAGAGCATTAATCGGATGCGCTTGGATTTTGAGTTTCGTTTTTGCCGTACCCAGCGTATTTATTAACGAAGAGACGATAATAGAAGGTATATAGTATATACCGACCGTATCTGTAGCGATTCCTTTAGAAAAATAAACAGAAATATTTATAATATTTTATTATAATTATTATAACATTATGATGTTAATATTTATTATACAATTGTTTGTAATATTGTCGGCAGTTTCAAGTTTTTAGTACCTACATAAAAATCTATAAAAATATAAATATAAACAACTTATACTTTTGAAAATAAGAATAAATATTATTTAATTGATATTAATTTATTATCAAATATTTCCATTGTTTCGTTCTCTGAGAACTTCTGCGACCGACCTAATAACAACTTGACGCTGACCTTGTACACAATTTTCAGAGTTGTCGAGCTTTGCACCATATAAATAAAATAAATACCATGACGTATGTAGTATAATATGATATGTACACAATACATATTTAAGTAAGACACAGCACAAAGTGTAAAGTCTGAAATGCAAAGTGCGCACAGGTAAATAAGTATATATCCATAAGAATTAAGTATGATAAAGTTAATTTATTTGCCATAAAACAACAATGATATAAAGATGTTTTCCTTTGAGGCGAGTCATCCAAGCAAAGAGGATAATAAGAAATCAAGTATCGAATCAAAAATTGTTTTAATTAAATATCCTATACAAAATCAAGTATTCATCAATATTGTTTTGTACTTCAAAAGTATATTTTCCAAGTTTGTAAAATAAAAAAAAATATAAATTTATAACACTCGACTTTCTAACAAATGATTTTCGAACACTTGACATAATACCATACATACTAAACCACAATTTCATAAAAATAAATTAAAAAGATTATTACTAAAATAACTTAGGTCAATTTTTTCTCATTATAATGATTTGGAGTTTGTACAAAGGGGTTTATGATGGACACTGACTCCCCCCGCCCTCACTATAAATAATCTTATAATGTTCAAAACATATAGTCTGTAGTACGAATTGTTATAAAAGAACAATTGTGAAAAATAAGGGCTGATATAAGTCTGAACTTTTAGTTAGGTTAAATTATCGACGTGGTTATTGGAAATTATTAAGTTATAGATTTGCCATTGACTAAGTCCCTACTTGTATATTATAATAAATAATGAGCACTCACACAATTTGTATAACACTCCGATATTACAAAAAATAGAGAAATTGTATATTTGTACACGTGTACAGCTAGCATCGGGAATACAACTTTAATTATATAAACGAAGAAAAATTGAAATTTATGTTAACTCATTAAAGGGGTGTTTTGTTGCATAATACAATATATTACGTTCATAGCATTTAACTATTGTAGACGAGGCAATTTATGGTTCAAAAAAGTTCTATTAACGATATTGTACACAAAGAGCGATTAGTCGTATGTGTTGAAATCGATAGCCCTTCAATCATAATACTACCTAGATATATATTATCATCGTATATTTGTACAGATTTATAGTTAGTCCCTCAGAGAAAAAAATTTTAACACGATTTTGGAAATTAATTACTGTATCCAGTGGCGCTGAGCTCATAAATAGCATGTGAAGCGATAGTGCCAATAATCACACAATTATGCATAGTAATACCTACATAATTAGGTACTATCTGTTTCTGATGCACTCTGCAAAACTTAATATTAAAAATTAAATATTATTGTACTCGTTTTTTTTGGAACTAATATATTGATGAAAATATTTTAACAGTCGAACTATATTGATTTTCATCACTTATATAAGTAGGTTCTCAAATAGAGATTTAGGTTTTATAGTTTAGGCTGGAGGAGGGTAAGAAGAGTGGTAGTCCGGCTATGTTCGAAGACAAACGCCGTTAGACCCCAAGTACAACACATAACACATATTATTGACAATTCATTTTTATTTAAATTAATATCAAAAAGATGGGCCTCGCTGAAAAACTCGTAACTATACATACATTATGGCGCAGCATACCATCTTATTATGCGTTTTATCGTGTGTTTGTTCTATACTTATATACTATCTTCATACTGATTTTTTTAAATTACTGAATACATTCCATCCATTGGAACTACTACCTATATTATAAACCTACAGTCACCACGGCGTCGTCTCTTCTGTTTTTCTATTATATAACACATTATTAGATTTTACGAAAAACAAAATATCACGAATCATATAATCGTTTACAATTCTTGTTTTCCCGAACATAATATTATGGTTTGTTTTTTCATTTGTACTTTTAATTTCACGAACATTTCGGATCGTCGAGAGATGCAGAACGCAGACTTCGGAATCGACCCCCCCCCCCTCCACGGCATAGTCGTGTTACTTTAATAATCATAATATTATCATGTATAGTGTTGCAGCGAGTGGTTTCAATATCGTTTGGTATAAACGCATAATGTCATCGTCCATTATTGGCGTAGACAATTCCACTAAACTATATTATACACGCGCTGACGTCCGAGTAGAATTTTAAATCGTACCTCCTCGTCGTTTCAATATAATTTTCGCTTGCGACGCTACACATAGTTGTAGTGAACATTGGTGATTGTTAACTTTTACTAGTTCACAAAATAAAGCAGACACAAAAAAAAACCATTCACAAATGTATTATTTCGTTACCATTATAAATGTTATCTTAGTCTCATCGTATTTGTCCATCGACCAATAGTCAGTACCAGTAGTACTACGAATTAAGAAATATACTAATATACTCCTCTGCCATCAACTTTAAAACCATCGTAAATATTAGAAAACTTAATGGGAATTAGGAAATTCCCATTTCGTATATTTATATATTATACCATTTATACCTATTAGCAGAAGCAACTCTATAATATAAATATACATTTATGATAAATTATGTACCTAATGAAAAATCACATTTCAAAAATATTGACTAGAAAATAAAAGTAATAAAAGCTCCTCGTGTTAGGTTCTAGGTACCTATATTTTTTTTGAAATGTATTCATATTAATTACCTATATAATATTTCACAATAGAGATGAAAAATAAAAAACTGATAATGAATAGAATCTCGGATAGGGATAGTGGAACAGTAAAGTAGACCGGGGATTTTCCGCGAATCGCCGGGACGCGAGTCATCGTACTACACGAATGAATATCCTTCTCATAACTCAATAATTGTAACGAATTTCAAGCGATTTTTTTCTTGGCCCACAGGACGCACTCAGTGTTGGATCGAAATGTCGCCTTGGCAATGGAAATTGTACATAAGCATAGTGGCTACGACGGTGTTCGTAGTGCCGGCAATAGTCATCAGTGGATGTTACGCCATTATCGTGTACACGATTTGGTCCAAAAGCAAACTTCTATCACCGGCTAAAAACAACACACTACAACGTGGAACCAAAAGTGAATTATTTTATATAATATATTATGATATAGGTAACCATGTAGGTGGTAGCTAGACCTAAAGTATACTAACCTAAACGTTCCACGCACATTTTAACCTCCGTTCGCGGGCGCAAATTGGTAGATATGTCACAAGAGAATTGTGATGGGGAGTGCTTTACGAGAAAAGATTCAGGAAATCATTACTTATCACCCCCACCCACCAAAAAAAAAAAATGTTTTAATATACTATCCTCTGCTTTGGTTTTTTTAGATTTATAATCTTATTCTGTTGAATGGACTTTACTGTGTTATCGCACGAACATTGGGTGATTCAAATAGATCAAACATATTCAAAATATTTGAAAAAAAAAATATCCAAAAAATTCCAAAAATATAAATCTAATATTGCGCCCGACGTAGACAGAGTCCATAGACTCCCTCGGAAATTTTTCTAGGGGGCAGTAATGTGAGGATTTGAGAGTCCGATAACCTAATATTCTAATATAATGTTTTTATAATGGTGACCTTTTATTCATATAACCACTTTAAATTTGTTTTATAGTACATCATTTTAAAACATCCAATTTAAAAAAAAATTCTAAAAAGCCAGGGGGCAAATACCCCCAGCCTTTCGATCACCTTTGTGTACAGTAGTGTACATGGTTAGTATACTATTAGTATAGTGTACACAGTGTACATTTAAAATTATTATAAAAATATAAACACATACTACATTATTGAGATGATTTAGCCGATTTAGGTCAGGGATGGCGAACCTTTTTGTACCAGCGTGTCAAATAAAAATGTTGGTTAGATTTTGTTTTCCCTGCGTGTCAACTAATTCGATAACCCTTCAATTAATTTTTTTAGAATTTTTAATATTATCAAACGTATACACATTCGTGAGTGTCACTAAAATAGTGTGCGCGTGTCACTCTGTGACACGCGTGTTATAGGTTCGCCATCTCTGATTTAGGTGACTACACTACATTTTTTAGTCAAATTTTGTATTTAAAAAAAAATATATTTTCACATTTGGTTTACCTATTATAAGAAAAATCTAATATTTATACCCATCTCTATTTTTTTTACAATATTTGATGTTAAATATTTTTTCATCTTATAATCGAAAACCGATTACTTTTTACTGTACTGTATTTTAAAAGAATACATTAGCCTAACCTTCATAGCCAACACTTAACCTACTTAAAGTTAACAGATAATAAACAATAAAACATCATGTTTAATAATTAATTTAACTTGTATAAAAAATATGGATATTTAAATATCAAGTATTGAACAGTTTTTTTATAAATAACAACATTTATTAAAAAAAAAACTTTCAAAAATCACCAGCATAAAAAATTGTAATTGCTTGTTTTTGAAAATAAGATATTACACATGTGGTGCTTTAAAGTTCAGACTAGATACAGGTGTGTAAAATCATTTTATTTTTAAATATGAACACATAATTTACCAAAAAATATTAGTTAGCAACTTAAATAGATCATATCAATGTTATAACACAACAATAACGAATGCAAAAATGTAATTCAGGTTGCATTATTTTAAAACAATATATAATAATGTCGTTTTGGGACGTTAACCACTCGTTACAGAACCTGAAGAGCACGATATCAGAAGGTCCAGTTCACGAGGCATCATACCGAAAGCGAAAATCAAGACCGTAAAAATGACATTCGTTATTGTGTTCGGTCAGTATACACACTACTTACAAATACACTTATTATTATTCTTCTTACAAGCGTATAAATAAATGCAATAATCATATTATTCAATCGAATAATTATCGTGCAATAAATAATACCTATCTAATACAAACACAATCGATACGATACAAATAGGCACTCTATGTGCTCATCACAGACCATCCATTTTATCCTTATTCTTTTATTCAAAATATTAAATCGCGACGGACTGCCATATATATTCATTAATTAACTTAACACATAAGTTTTTTCATTTGTGTTTAACGATTTCAGACGGATAAATTGAATAAATCTAAACCCAACAATCAATATAATTACTTTAGTTTAAGCGATTCTTGTATAGTTTATCGATAAGTAAATTTCAGTTTGTTATTATTTTATTTCATATATTTTGTAATACAAAGGAAGATATCTAATACATTTGTATTGCTGTATAATTTATAAGCAATTTTTAACAATGACCGTAAAATCAATATAGGTGTTTAATTATTAATGCTATTAGGTTTTTACCTGCCTACTCCAATGTTAAGAAAATGTTCATATGCCTAAAACAGGGCTTTAATTTTTCTCTCTTCCGTTGTCGGGAACCCTCGTGTATCCGTCCTCCGCCGGCCTCTAACAGACTTGTATTTCACGCCGCAGACGATGACCGTATACCTATATATAAAACACGAATGGTTTTTCTTTTCGTTGTCTTTTTTCAGTATTCATCCTGTGCTGGAGCCCGTACATAGTGTTCGACCTGCTGCAAGTGTACGGCTACATACCAAAAACGCAATCGAGCGTGGCCCTCGCAACTTTCATACAGAGCCTGGCGCCGTTGAATTCTGCCGCCAATCCCATCATATACTGCTTGTTCTCCACTCACATTTGCAGATCTCTCAGGTATAAAGTATAACATGAAATGCCTACGTCTCAAAGACAATGATTATATCACGTCGACGGTGCGCGAAGTCGAATTCATACTTAATATTACGACTCCTGCGATTAATCGACAAAATACCACCAAATAGTATATAAATGGATAATAGTAGTTTATAAATATATGCTGTCGTATCGCATCAATAAACATTCCTAATAATTATATAGGCTGAGTAAAATAAACAATTTTTTGACCTCAAAAGTAATATTAAATATAGAAAAGAAGTAGCAATGACCATAGTATACGGTATAATAAATATTAATATTGTATTAATATATTGGCTCGGGTTTCAATCATGCAAAAAGATACGTTTTTTAAAAATAGGTGATTACATTTATTATAGATAGTACCCAGTGAATTGGCCACCTATGAAATGTACCTTCTGTAAACATTAAACCTATAGTTTTAAGTTGCATATTATAGTAAAAAAGTAAGTTAAAGAAGTTAATTAAAAAACAAAATAGGTATCCACACCGTTATGACGTAGGTAACTTACGATGTAACCTCGTAACTTAAAGTTAATTTTAATTTTTAAATAGTTAATGACCAATTTTACTTAAAAGATATTACTATAAGTACCCAACACACCACTTTGACCTTTTATAAGTAAACAAAACAAAAAAATACTATACAACCTGCTACCTGTATCAGAGTAGATTTGTCTTTACTACAGTCTACCTCTACACCCTTGGACCGAGTTTATAAACATAATATTATGCACACAATGGCTGTACTTTTATCACTGTTGGAAATAAAATTCTTCTCCATCCCATTGGAAAAATCATAAATACACCACTGTCTCGACCAATGCGTGACATCAGTATGTAATTTCGTCAGAACGAGATCCCGAAATCTAAAAACCACATCATCATTACGAAATATATTATCATGTTATGATAAATGGTAACTTAAAGATTAGATACGACCAAAAATACAAATCTAAATCTATTTTTTAAGTATACCTATAATATACAACAAAAAACTGTCCGATAAAAACTTTTTCTCTATATTACTGAGTATAATACATTTTATTATAAGTCATATACGATATACCATAATATACCTACCTAATGCATTATAAACGAATATACTCATCATACTTTTCGCTACGTTTCGTTTATTTACATCAACAGCACACATTAAACGACTCGATATTTGAGATTTGGAATTGGAACGATTCCTATTTTTTCCTCGTTATAAAATATTATCGCGTGAAAAAACACTGACTCGTCTGATTTTTAAATTTTCGACAGTCGTATCTCTCCACACTGATTATTCGAGATCCCTAGTCACATGTTTACGATATTTTAACTTAAAAGCATACAATAAATTAAGTGTTTAAGTATTTTAACTACTTATAAACTTGCCTAACTCTTTTTAAAATCAAAACATCGAAAAAAAATTGACAAAAGAGCACGATTATATTCATAATATGAAAACGTGAATGATTACAAAGCGTTGTGAGTATTCGTGTTATCCTTAAGTTCTGCAATAGGTAAATTCACTCCAGTATTAAAAAACAACATAAACTTTATTGAAAATGAATAAGTACCTATAATGTCAATGTTGATGTGTTATGAAATAAAAGATAGAAACAATGATACGTCACGTATGCACATATTCTCATAAGTGTTTTTGGACCCATCGGGGTTGGGTTTAGAGTTTTTCTTTATGATTATAAATTCTAATGATTAATAATTTTTATTTTATTTTCAAAGATTAAACTAGGCATTCGTGGATTTGTATCATCAGGTGTATAAATATAAAACCTTGTACTGTGCAAGTTAAAAATTAGTCAAAAACTCCCTATCCCTCTCCAACCCACAGTCTATCCTCACCGTGAACGTTTAGGCGCCGCTCCACATCCGTCATAACATCGCTACAACATTTTGCGTTTTTCAAAATATTTTCAGGCAAGTCCCGCCGTTCAGATGGTTGTTGTGTTGCCGGAACGGAACACAAGAGCAATTGAGCTACACGGAAACACTAACATCGTCTAATCGACAGGTGAACACGTCTCTGCTGCGGAACGCCACCGTGCACGTACACTCGGTGGTCAGGGCTCCTGTCTTAGACCGCATGGGCATATCGACGGAGAAGAACAGCTACGCCGATTCGCTGCTTTAAGAAGGCCGGGACGGCGCACTCCGAGCACCCCACGACGTATTACTATTATAATTATAATGATTAATAATATTATAAAATTCATACGAGTACATTATAAGAACATATTATAATTATTATTATTATTATTATTATTATTATCAATATTCTGTCCCCGTCCCTTTATGCGAACGCATTATTATAAACTATACAGCCATTATAATATTATAATATACATTTCTCTAATTATTAAAACATTATTACATTACTATTATTACTACAATAATTACTATTACTACCTACTATTATTATTATTATTACTATTATAAATATTAATTTTAACTATACGACCATAAACGTTAAGTTATATTCTGTCGACTGACTTCGTCCCTAAAAATACAATATTATTATGTGTACAAACCTTCGATATATATATATATATATAATTATGATTATTATGTATTCCTTATTGTTGCCTGGATTCCTATTCGTACTTACGTCTTTAACCAATATTATGTAAATACTTTTTGTTTTAAACCATCGTTAATAAAATACAATAGCTTAATAACCATTTAACATGTATTTGTCTATTACAATAACTGAACAAAAAACAGAAAACAATTTCTACATTATAATAACTACAGTAAGCTCTGTTGTTTTGATATCCAACCTTCTTTGATTGTATATTTTGTGTAAGTATTTTATGTGGCCGGTACACAACTACACAACCTTTCCCTGATATTTTTATATTCACACGGAAACAAATCAATTTTGAAACCGAATTAAATGCACTAATGTACCGAAGTAATCAGATGGATTTTAGTAGGTGCCGGCGAATGCGGTTTTTGTCTTTGGTGATGTTCAGCTATTTGACATCAGTGCCACTCTTCTTATCTTTGATAATACCCTTCAGTTCATTCAGTCTTTCCTCTGTATTATCATAGTTGTATCTGCATGCAATCCTGCCAACAATTTATCAATAATTAATAATTATAATATAGTTCAGTGACAGGTTTAATTTATATACCCTTTATATAGGTAATAAACTAATAAATATAAAATTGTAAATACATTATATTATACATAGTTTATTGGTAGAAATTATTTATTTATTTATTAAACTATTTTTGGATGACATTTTAGTCTTCGTTTGCATCAACAACAATGTTGTGTTCTCATTTCTTTGGAAGAAAAGGTCAAATGTGAAAAAGAAGAATACTTCAATAATAAATAAGATGTTTAATATAATCATTGATTTAATAATATACAGATAAGCCATCTTATGCAATGCAAATGGATACACCGAACCTAACACTTAAATGCAATTAGCCCGGATTTCAATATTAACGATAGGGTAGCTTATCTATATATTTTAAAATCAATGGTATAATTGTGAACATGTATACTATAAAAAAAGATATGGTATGAATTTCTGACTTTTTCTAGATAGTAGGGTAGTGAAGTTTCTACAGTCCCCATCGCTAAAACTAATAAAGAAATCAATAACTAATAAATTATAATATGTTATTAATGAACAAGGTTATACATGTAAAATATTTATTGCATGGTTTTCAATAAATATGGATGGTACATTTTATAAAAGGAAATTAAATGATTTTTATTGGTGAAATTTTTAAGTTTGTATCATAAAATATACATAAGTACCTAGTATACAATATAGATAGTGAAAAACTTACTTATTAACAATAAGTTAATAAAAGAAAATTTAGATACAAGTTCAACTTGAAATTACAATATAAAAATGGTTCTTGTACTCATTTTATGGAACTTGTGGTAAAGCAAAGAGGGTAATCAAGACGTTACCTTTTAAATTTTTTAAGGAGTGATGGGTGAAAAATCGCCAATGCTTAATAATTTAGTGTTAACTAGTATTACTATGACGTGTATTTAAAATATGAGTCAACTATAAATATATACCTTTATTAGGTTTTGGGTAGGTGTAATATTAGACTAACCTCTGGAAAATATCAAGTTTTTACCACCCTACTGCTAACACTGGTATATTTTTGGCAATAATATAATATGTATATTGTATATATAATAATATGTTTACTACTGCATGCACTATATAATATTGCCAGTATTAACTTAATAAATAATGATGGTAAAAAAATAAATAAGAAATGAATAAGAAAAATGTATTAAATCCATGTTCAGAGAATTAAGTCCTCTTAAAAAAATATATAAAATAGATACTTGATTTAAGCAATAAAAAGAGTTGTAATATTAAGATGGATATTATCATCGTATAATTAAACCATATAAACCGTCTTGCTTAAATTTTAAGATATTTATCTATTTATAGATTTTATAAACAGTTAATACTCAAATAGTTTATTATGTAGAGATGCTTACCAATACACAGAAGATATCGTAACAAAAGAACCAAAACCGAAGTGCGTAGATCTTAATGTTCTACTTGTACACAAGAAACAGCCGACTCCCATAGTAAATCCTCCGACTATGCCATACAGGAAACTGTTACGAAAACAAGGGATTTTTGAGACATCTTTGCCCAAAAACATCAAAGGCTAAAGAAAATAAGAGAATTTTACCATTAACCACACATCTAAGATATACAACATAGTAGGTATATATTAGTCTGTGACACTAACCCATGATGGGCTTAGAATAATAATAAGACACAATTTTTTTCAAACAACAATTATTATTTACTTATTACAAATGAACATGCATAAATATTAAAATGTTGGACTTTTACCTTGTGATCTTCATCACTGGAAATCGACGCCATCCTTTATTTGATTTAATATCTTATAGTAAACTGGAATTATTATTTTTTAGTTTGTTATCCAAGTACAAAAATGTAGATAGGTACTTTCGCTATTGCACATTAGTGGTTGTACCTTAAATTTCGGCGGCAATCTACACGTAGTAAATAGTAAGTAATAAGTACACATCCGCTACCATAGGGCATGGCGATAGCACGAAGACATGATTAAAGAAATACTTATTGTTTACTACTCAATACTAGTTAGTAGTAAAGTTAGTAGAGGTTTGAAATTTCTTTGATCGTGTGAAACTGAAAAACATAATAATATAATATTATTAATTTAGTACCATCTTAGTCCGTGATAGATAGATACGGCCGTGATAATGTTATCAATAATTATGTGCTCTAATCCACGCATATAGATACTATGGTTGCACGTCGGCCTATATTGGATCACAGCGTTGAGTGGCGCCGAATGTTCTTATCAAATCTGACGAAAAGTCGCGTTTTACTAGCGCCCTCTACAGTAAGAACTCTTATACCATGTTACCATAACTTTACAAACATATTTATAATTTATATAATCGCGGGTATATGATATACCAGGTCATAGAGGGCGCTAGTATCACGCGACTTTTTTTAAATTCTTGATAAGAACATTCAGAGCCGTCATATCCGTGCTCGTTGTGCAACCATAGTATCTATATCCGTGCTCTAATCACAGACTTCTATCACAGAATTTATTCTGTGCTTCTATATTATTTATTGTTCTATGATTATACTTAACTTCTTCTATAGTATAATAATCTATGTTCTATAATATTTCTTCTTCTAGTCATAGACCAGCAGGCTCATATCAAATATAAGGTCTATGCTTCTACTTCTATTTCTATAATTTCTTATAGAAATCTGTGGTTTTAAATTTTTAATCATGGTAATGTCCATGAAGGCTAGAGATAAGGAGGTCAAACACTGCTAGCCGCCTGCACAAAAATTGGTTCTGCAAAACATCGCACACTCAATTCTCCACCAGACTGCGTGGCGGTCAAATCCGAGGCTGACTCGAGATAGAGATAGAGACCTACTCGACTTTATTACCTTTAAAAAATTATAATTAAAAAACTAAAAATCGTATTTAAACTATAATTACACCATCGTATTCAGCGGAAATGTATCTTTAAGAATAAATTACTAAAACAATATTAGTGCTCAATATTTACGTTGTACATTTTATTTTTAAATTATTTTTATGTATTATACTGGTTAATTTTTAAATTATTTTTATGTATTATACTGGTTAATTTTTATTTTTTAGTGGTAAATTCGATACCTATATATTACACCAAATTGAGGACATTTTAATAAAAAAGTTGTTCTCAAAGTTATCGATGTTTTGACATGTTCTTCTCATCATTTTTTGAAATTATAATACTATATTAAATTACATTTCACATAAAAATAGTTAAAAATGAGTCAAAATTGTTATGCCTCTGGTGAACAATCGTCAATTTTAAAGGAAAAATCTGAATTAATATGACTATTTAAAAACATTTTAACTGCATTCAAATCGCAAGTTTGATACTACATGGGAAGTCATAACGTTAGGTTAGTTTTTGAACAGAATCATGGGTCCTCAAGTATATCGATAAATATTCACCGAAAATGTTAAATTACAATTTATAAAAATACTGCTTTATTAAGCAGTTCCAATGGTGTTACAATATAAAAGTACTAAATATTAATCGATCAACGATAGAGTTTCCTTTAGTAGTTTTTCATATTTCTATTATTGTCGAACAATGAAATTAATCAAAAATAAAATTGCCATGTTTCACCTTTCGACGCCTGGGCGGAACACAGTGCTGCAATTCAAATGCCGTTGTTGTATACTACTATCATAGAACACTATGCTATTGTAAAAGAAGTTACCAATAAGTATCATCGTCTTTGAAGATTAGTTTGCCATCACTGTTAGTAAATTTATAAAAAACTATGCCAACATTTTAAATCTCTATAAACCTATAGGCCAACGAATCTAAAATCATTAAGAATAAATAACTGTAGATATTCGGCTGTATTCATCGCCATGTAGTGCATGCTATCACAGTAGTCAGTAACCAGCAGCGGTCATATATAAATAAGACAGATTTAATTGTTGCGATTTTATTTCACTAATTTGTTGTATATGAAGTAGGTCAATAGGTAATAGCTCCAATTAACTTATTATCGAATAGACTAATAATAGTACTGTACTTCTGTTGAATTAATAGTACCAATAATATTACCTTATAAAAAAATGTGATCTTAATATAAATTAGTCGAAAAATAAAAAAAAATATTTATATGGCACCGAATCAAATTGTTATCTTTTGAGTTTTGACTACGACCTAAACAAAAAAGTCCATATAATTTAATGATTGTAGGTAGGAGCATGATAATATTATGTTATCATTTTTAGTAGAAGGCGATGTAATAATATGTATAAGACCATGATTGATTGCACAAAATACCTAATCATGCGTAAGCACTAACAATATATCCATAGGTTGTAAGCACTTTAAAAAACTGAACTTGAATGATTCTTTACGAAAATAAAAAAATTAAAAAGGTATATTAGGTTTATTATTTATTAAGGTATATTACTATATTACCATCTCTGATTAAAAGTTTAATCGGCCAATTTTGGCCGGTTATAAAATCTGTTATCAACATCGAAGTGTAACCGTAGATTGTACAACTGGCCCTAATACTTAATATTGGTCAAATTGTAACTTTTAACTCATTTAATAGTTGCTCAATAGTAGGTAACTTGCATTTAGGTATTATTTTTTTTTTCTAGTAGAATTCTGAATAACAGTTAGATCATAATAATGGCTTAATCATATTAAGTAGCATTTCAATATTATGATATTCCAATTAAATACCAAATCATAAAATTTATTTGTTGACCACTTATAACAATTAACATAATTGCTATTTTCGGTCTAGACTTCCAGAATAACTTTGAATTTGCTTGTACATTATCGTGATCAATATTTTGGAAACATCAAACACAACTCATACGAAAAACTGGATCCAAAAGTTACATTATAGTTGTGTACAAATAAAAATACAATACAACTTAAGTATTCATTCTATTATAGAGAACAAAAACCTCAAAGGTAATTTATTTCGACAAAATACATTTACACAGACCTAAAGGATATTCTGAGGTAAAAAGTTGAATCCTAAAAATTTTAAATTGTTTTTATAGTATAATTTTATTACAAATCAGGTATATGGTTTGCAATAACAACAGTATATTATACACATAAACTGTAAAATTTATATTGTAATTGTTACAGAAAAATGATCTAAATGGCGAAAACTGGCAGCATTAAAAAAAAACAGTTTTTATTGTGATACAACATGCTTACATGTCATTGAAGATGCACTAGGTCATTTGTTTTTGATGTTTGCCGTTTAACAAATAGTATTTACATAACTCTACTTAATTTATTCGCTGAAACACGAACAACAATGTTTACTTTTAAAGAATACAAAATGTTTACGAGGACAACTTCTTGTGTGAATGCATTTAGTATCATTTATATAAATTATGTATTTTTGGCCAAAGTTTCAGCTTTAGCAACTACTTCTTCAATGGGACCAACCATGTAGAACGCAATTTCTGGCAAATGATCGTATTCACCAGCTAAGATTTTTGAGAATCCCTAAAATTGATAGGAAAATAAATATAATTAAATAACTTATTAAAAACCATTAACTATAAGTAATTCAATTTACTTTGATTGTTTCTTCAAGTGGTACCAATTTTCCTGGATGTCCAGTAAAGACCTCAGCTACTTGGAAAGGTTGGGACAAGAACCTCTGGATTTTCCTGGCCCTGGCGACGGTCAATTTGTCTTCTTCTGAAAGTTCATCCATACCCAAGATAGCAATGATATCTTGAAGTGATTTGTAGTCTTGTAAGATTTTCTGTACACCACGAGCAACATTGTAATGTTCATCACCAATTACGTTGGGGTCCATAATACGGGATGTAGAATCCAATGGATCTACAGCTGGGTAGATACCCAACTCAGCGATGGCACGAGACAATACAGTGGTAGCATCTAAATGGGCGAAAGTTGTAGCTGGAGCAGGATCAGTTAAATCGTCAGCAGGTACGTAGATAGCCTATAAAAACATTATTTGTGAAATAATTATCACAATTTAATAAAAATACAAAACTATTTACCTGTACTGAGGTAATGGATCCTTTGCTGGTAGTGGTAATTCTTTCCTGCATAGTACCCATGTCAGTGGCCAAAGTTGGTTGATAACCTACAGCAGATGGGATACGACCCAACAAAGCAGATACTTCAGAACCGGCTTGTGTAAAACGGAAAATATTGTCGATGAAAAGCAATACATCTTGTCCTTCTTGATCTCTGAAGTATTCAGCAACGGTCAGACCAGTAAGAGCAACACGGGCACGAGCGCCAGGAGGTTCGTTCATCTGACCATATACCAACGCTACCTGTAATAATACAACAATTTTAATATTTTGTCTAATACCCATTACACCTACATAATTACAAAAATAATATACCTTTGAGGTTTTGTCCTTGAGGGAAATTACACCGGACTCAATCATTTCATGGTACAAGTCATTACCTTCACGTGTTCTTTCTCCTACACCAGCAAATACTGAGTAACCACCATGAGCCTTAGCAACATTGTTGATCAGTTCCATAATCAATACAGTTTTTCCTACTCCAGCACCTCCGAACAAACCTACATACAGACATATTTATAAATATAAACTTCAATGGACAAGTAATTTTATAATTACCAATTTTTCCTCCCTTTACGTAAGGGGCTAATAAATCTACAACTTTGATTCCAGTAACCAAAATTTCCTGTTCAACACTCATTTCAACAAAAGGAGGTGCTTCAGCATGAATGGGTGCGGTCTTATCAGTTTCAATGGGGCCCCTCTCATCAATTGGTTCACCTTAAAAATATATAATTATTTGAATAGTGAGAATCTTAAATATTTCAATTATAATCGAATAGAAAAAAAAATATATTTACCAATGACATTGATAATGCGGCCTAAAGTTTCAGCACCAACTGGAATTCTGATTGGAGATCCACAGTCAAGTACTCCTTGTCCTCTGACAAGACCTTCAGTACCATCCATAGCAATAGTTCTGACAGTATTCTCACCTATATTAGAATAAATAGCGAGGTTGCAGATGTTTTTTAGTATTTGATAATAATAACAAAATATAATTACCCAAATGCTGGGCAACTTCAAGTACAAGACGTGGAGACCTGTTTTGTACTTCAAGAGCATTGAGGATGGGTGGTAGTTCTTCATCGAATTGTACATCAACAACGGCACCAATAACAGCAACAATACGGCCTTGTGATGTACCAGCCATTGGCTTGGCAGCAGCTTTGTTGTTAGCTAAATGTAATAAAACATATTTATCAAAGAGTTTCAAAACAAAATATTGTAAAATATGTAATAGGTCAATGGTATTTTAATAAAAAGATTGTTAACAATTTTATTGCAGGTTATTTATGAATATTACTACATACAGAACAAGAAGAAAAGTAATTTATAGCATACAATGAAGTAAAAACAATTAGGGATTTGATAAAAGTAATACCGGCAATTTATTATCAAGAAATTATTATTAATAATAACAGTTTTATACTACCTACCAAATTGAACAAATTAGATTTCATTAATTTTTGTACTAGCTTCAAGTTCATAACTGAAAAGACGGCTTATAATACATTCACAATATATGAAAATTTGGGTACTTTATTTATTTGTAAAAAAGTTATTTATTCATTTAACTATATATTTATGTCAATTGAAAATGGAGGTGTTCAATTATACGTGAAATACTTAATCTGATACTATAAATATATATAAATCGATTTGAGCATCGTAGTAATCAGTGATCGATTAAAATTGTACAAAACTATATTGTAGCACAATTATGTAATGTTAGAGTAACATGGATGAATTAATCAGGACGAATAGGTCATAAGGACGACAAAAAAATAAAGGGTCATTGGGCACTTGTAACTATATGGTTTTCAAAGAAAAATCATCCAAGGTCAAAAAAAGGTCATTTGTCAAGTATTTAAGGAAACAGGATTTTCACGTGAAAAACATGAAGGACACTTAGCGGAACAGTTTTCCGTTTTCGACCTGTATCCAAAGTACAGCAGAATCGCTGATAGGTATAACCCCAAAACGATAAAGGCGGCGGCGGCGGGGCCATTAAGGCGAACGATGGACCTACGTACACACCGAAAACCGAAACGGCCCCGATCGCGTTGACCCAGAAACGCCGAAAAAGAGACGGAAAACGGCCGATAGTAAGTCCAAAAAATTGACGAGTCGGCCGAGTTTCCCCCGCTAGCCGGCCAGTAAGATAAGAGAAAACGCCGCGCCAGACGTCATACTCACAATTTGACGAGGTGGCGACCATGGCTTTTGGTAGCTCATTTTGGACGATTTTCGGAGTGAGGTTGCTCTTGCTGGCCTTCAGGGCCCCAATGGCCGCCCTGGACAACGCGTTCAACATGATTAGGATGCGGCGACGGTGGAAAAAAAATTATATTGCACGGAAACGAGTTGAGCGAACGGCCGAGGTGAAATGTGTCGTGAGCAAGACGAGTGGCTGCTGGTGAGACCGGACAAAATGGACGACCTACGCCTATGCTGCCCGTGTCCCCCGCGCAACCGTCCCGGTGTAGGGCGCAGTGTGTTCACCTCTGCGGGACGAGCGCCGTCAGCTGTCCGCGGTTGAACATGTGTTTTCCCCCGGTCACCGGGCGGCCGGCAACACTGTATCTGGATAAAAAATTGGCGGCAACGACTGATGTGACGGATTTCTATTCTTGAAATTACCAAAAACACCTATTACAGTTTCGGTTTCAAAAATACTCCAATTAAAAGGCACAACATTGAAAAAAACTTCAAACACCACTATTTTTTTAAACATTTTAATTGAAATATTTTCTAAATTCTATAAGATTAATAAGAATATCTGAATATGTAATAACTAATATGTTATAAAGATTGTTGATACTGTAAAAGCTAATAATTAACAAAAATGTTTTTTTATAAAACGATGTTTATCTTCTAAACTATGTTTGCAGAGAGTAGGTCAGTCATTATTCATCGGTAAATAAGCTAGCTGGTCAACTTTTTTTGTTTTTATCTATTGCTCTTTAAAGGTATTAGAACCTCCTGTATAGGTACTTAGGTAATTTCCACATTTTTACCAAAATTGAAATAAAATTATGCTTAATTTGAATTTGAATTTTGAAACTGTACTGAATAAAAAATTACTTCATAAAATTCTATTTTATTTACTTTAATCACCTTTGAAATTGTACAGCCTATTTAATTTTCAAATTGCATATACCATATACGTGGGTCTTGTAAATGTATGCGCAGTAAGTAATCATAATATTTTGTGTATGTGACTGCGTGTTAGCGAAATAGCGGGTCACTCCCGCACGCGCAGGTACGAGTCTCCGTCACGACATTGCGCACGTTAAAGATGACCAATCAAGTAGACATATAGTGACAAATTCAAATCAGTTTTAAAATGTATTACCACATTACTAGGTCGATCAGTAAATATTGGTATATTTTGGCTAATAACAATCAGCCACCGACTAGGAATCTAGCAAATGTTGGAATTGTACGAACTAGCAAATTTAGACTCAACCCAGCAACAGTGCAACACCGAATATTAAAAAGTTCAATTCATAATAAAATTACACATAATAAACATGGCCTGATTTAATCAAGAAAACTCGATTACAAACAACAAAAATAGGTACCGAATCGAATGAATAAACATATGCAGAATAACCATCCAACGTATTACAATTATTATTGCATCAAAAAATCAAATAATGAATACAAATAAATGGTTTTATATTATTCTAAAAGAAAAATGTATAGGTTCATGCAGTTTAAAAGTTTTTAAAACACCGTTAAAGTGATATTAGTTGGATCAAAATTCATTAACACGTCATTATTGTAGAACCAAAAAATTCTCTGTTCCACTCAGAATCTAAAAAAATAGGTACCTACCTAACCATGAAATGGCACACTTGTTCAAATTTTATATAGGTAGGGTGTTACCTCGCATTTTTGTAATTTTGTATTTTAACTGTGGGCTCTGTACCTAATATCTTAATAAATATTCCGATCTGTTAGACTGGAGCATATACACAGTGATAGGGAAAATAAATCATTTTGCTGAGATGCTTGTTGATTTAGCCAAATATAAGACTTAAGTCTACATAATAGTATAGTCTAAAGATTTACTCATATAATGATTAATGACTAATGAGTAATGGCATATGGGCTATCGAGGTTATTGTTCGTTTTAAATACAAATATAAAGCAACATATTTTAGGAAACTATAAAGTCTATAAATAAATAACACGACTAAAAAAATAAACATTAAATATAAATATAAATATTTTATGATTTAATAGTGTCACACTTTTATACATTTATAAGACATTTTGAAGCTGTTCGATGTAAAACTACTATGCCCAATAATATTATTAGCATCATAAGTCAATCATTTATAAAACATGCCATATTAATTAACAATATTCGTAGTGATGGTTCAAAAAAAAAAAATGAACCGTTACAATTATTTTCTTAAAAATATCTATGAGGAAATTACTTAGTAGTGGTAACTGGTACATTGGACTACAAGTATTATAGTGCATTTGTAAACCTTGAAAATCGTTATCCGTTTTATATAATATGCGAAATGTATACTTTAAAGCATTTTATTTCCTTTGATTTATCAATCCTAAACTAAAGATTGATCATGCCATTACAATTCATAAATTAGTGCTCATTGTTTTAACTCGTTCTTGACGTTCAAACTGTTCTGTGTCAATTTCAGTCTTGCGCATACATTCTAAAGACGAAGATGTAATCATTGGTTGATGTTTGCAAATAGGTGGCCATCCAGGAGAAGAATCTAGTTCGACTTTCACTGAATGATATAGGTGGTCATTACTAGAATCATATGATCCCAATTTCAATTTTTTTGTTAGCAAATAATCAACTATAAAATACTCTATACCCAGACATAAGATACAATCAACTACAGCTAATGTAACCACAATTATTGGGAATTCCATGAACGGAGGAAATTGCAATTGTAATAATTCCTTAATCCAATCGGCTGGGAACAACGTTATATATGAACAAACAGCCGTCATAGTCAGTAAACTAGAGAAAAAGACTGTATTTTTGTAAATTGGTCCTCGGTATGGTTTCCCATACGAAAATATTAGAGCCAATATTATGTATTGAAACTGAGAAACAGAATAAACTGCATAATTTTCATAACATCTATACTCTTTTGGATGAGTATAGTCGAATGGTTTGAACCAAGAAAAATTATGCACTAAGTAAAAAGATAAAACTTGTGTTGATACCATTACAAGTAAGTTTGCAACCATCGAAAACATAGGGATAAATGATAATAGTCTTGTTAACGGAGGCTTTTTAAATAATGATCCCTGAAAAGCTTCATTTCTGCCGAAAAAGAACATAAAGTTTACCACTAAACCAATATCAATAAACAAGTACTCGAAATCCGTCAAGTTACTGTCTATGTTATACAAAATAAACGTTGAAGTAAACTCCAACAAACTATAGAGAACCATAAATTTAAAAATTCCAAATGATGTCACAAGTGCCGCTCGTCCTTCTCGAATGATACGAGGCATACAAGAAATATTTGCTATGTGTGATGTAAATGGTGATGCCACTGACGATTCTGCTTCTGATAATGAAACTCCAACATGTGCAGCTCGTAACGCTCCGCAATCATTTGCACCATCGCCACACATGGCTAAAAATTATATTTTCATATGTTTATGACACAAAATTAACTACTATAAGAAAGTAAACAATAATATTTGCTATCTCACCGACATGATAACCAATGTACTGTAGTTCTTGTATTAATTGTTGCTTTTGTTCGGATGTCATTCTAGCAAAAATAGCTCCCTTAACTAGTATCCTAGGGAGAAGAACAGGAAATTTATCCCTAATAATAGCCCATGTCCGACCAGTCATCGCAAAGCTGTAATCTCCGTTCACTCGAGCTTCTAGCTCTAAATCGTTTTTATTCGAATGAAAGTTTTCGAATGTGGATGTAGCTCTCTATCAAAATAAAAATAGTATATAAGCCACTATTAAAAGTTTTTGACATTAATTTAATCCGTACCATTGGTGATGTAATACCACTAGCTGTATAGTATATTTTTGGACTACATCCTTGACTTTCATCAGCTGTTACGTCAACTACTGTCTTTGATGGCAATACAATTCCACATTCTTTAGCTACACTAACAGCCGTTAGGATGTTATCACCTAAAATAGTTATTTTGAATAATTTATTAAAACTGTTTTTCGTAATCTTATTATATACTCTACCTGTAACCATAATGATTTTCATATTCGCCCCTTGAAGTTCTTCAATAACAGGGGTAGTTTGATCCTTTAGGCGATTTTCTAAAATGACTAAGCCAGAAAAAATTAGGTCGCACTCGACTTCTTCTCGTCTTAATTTTGGAATTTGAACAAAGTTACAATTTTGAAGTACTTTATGAGCAAGAGCAATAACTCTATATCCTTCTTCAGTATACTCCCGTAATACAGTATTAGTCATGCTAGGCACTATGACGGTTAAAATAAATTGTATTACATTTATTTTCTTTCAAAAAATATTAAGACTATTTTTCTCACCAGTACTAGGAATACATAATGACTGAATCATTTCTGGTGACCCTTTTGTATAAACAATAAAACGTGGATCACCAATAGTTTTTGTAATCATACTCATTCTTTGCAGTGATGAGGAAAAATGAAATTGATGTATAAGACCGATTTCTATTTGTTTGCCATCATTTGAAGTGGTTGGATTTCGCACAATTGAGGGTATTAGTACATCGAACTTCGAAGCATCTGAAACTTCTAATTCTTCAAGACACCAAGCCGTTGACTCAAACATCTGAATAATATAAGTTATTTATCTAATACATACTATAGTTTAAAATCAAAATTATCGATTGTTATTATACTTTTATGTCAAGTGGATCTCCTGAAACGGTTGAATTTAGTAGTGTCAATGAATGACAAGTCACCATACCCAATTTTAACGAATGGTCGTTTGACAATGTTGTTACATCTCTAATAGGTGAACCTAGTTCATGGTTATTTTCGACTGGTACTACCCCCCACATGTCCAAACCATCTTCTGTCAATGTTCCTGTCTGTATTGAAACAAATATTTAAATTTAAATTTATAAGTGTTGTTTTCATAGTAAAAAATCGTACTTTATCAAAGCATATGCAATCAATTGATCCACAAACATTTATAACTCTCGTATTCATGCAAGAAAGTTGATGTTTTTGAAGTCTTCGTAATGCATATAGTCTTCCAACCGTCATTGCAGCTGGAAGTGCTGGTGGAATAACTATTGTAAACAGATCTAAAGACTTAACTAGGATGTCAAAAACTGTCAACCCTCTAGATGCCTATACAGTGTCCATTAATAAAAAATGTTAGTATAAAGATTTAAACCTAAACATATTATATTACTTACTTTTGACACTGCTGTATAAATTGAACCAGAAGTCGCCACCGCAGCCAAAATCCAAATAAAACGATATGTATCCTTATCAAACCTAAAGTCAGCCGGTGGGGGATATAGAATTGATCTTACCAATGATCCTTTTGCTGTCAAGTATCCCGTTCTTAAGACTACTCCGTGAACCTTTCTATCAGAAAAATATCGTGCTTGCAAAACTTTCGTTCCAGAAAATAAAGTATGATTTGCATCTTCACGTTCATTGTACAAAAGATTTATATTAGGTAATGCAGTCTTGAGCACTGGTACACTTTCACCTAAAAATAAAAAATTCCAATTGAAAATTTAATTCCTATTAATTTCAAATAATTTATCGATATAAAATTTGACTTTTTTTAAAAATAATTAAAATAATTAATCATGATTACCTGTTAGCATACTTTCATTAACGACACATGTTCCACAAAGTAAAGCTATATCACATGGTACTTCAAATCCAATTCTAGGTACAACAATTATGTCACCCGGTACCAAATCTGTTGTGGGAATATCTTCATAAATAGCTGCAGAATTAGCTCCACCCATATCACGGCATACTGTCACTTTATCTAGGGTATTTACAGTTTCTAATAAAGTCCTTTGGTTCTGAAACAAAAAAGATACTCGTCGTTTTTACTAAGTTTTGGGAATTATTAGTATGTTTCTTCTGTAAAAATGTTATTCGTCGAGACAGTAAGGTTACCTATCACTTCGCACATAATAAATTAAAATATTAATTAATTACCGCACGAGTTTGTATAACTGATGATGTTATTCCAAAAACTGACATGATAACTATGGCTCCTAAATAATACACATAACCTTCTGAAAACCATACTACAAGAGAAAAAGCTTGGAAAATATATAGAGGATTAAGAACTTCTAGCCATATCAGTGATAATATATTTTGAGTAGGTACATTGATTTTGTTTTCTCCATAAATGCATTTTCTGTAATTCCATAAAATCAACATAAGCTTAAATGTAATGTTGTCATGAGATATTAAACGCTTTCAAACAATGTGATACCTGATTAATTGTTCTTGCACAGAATAACCTTTATATGTATGCAGTTGTGCCGTTGTTAAACCTCGATCCAAACCGACAAGTTTTTGGAATTTCCCTTGAATATCGCACCAAACGTAGCAGATCTTTTTTATTTCTACTGCTCTTATTTGACTTACATCTAATAAAAAAAATAAAGATTAATATACATCTTCATTTTTTTTAAATATCAAAGTGAAACAAGCCTTGACATGATCCATCATTTAAATGTATCCTAATGGATTTTATTTCTAATGCTATGTGGTTTTCTTCAATTGCAATAGAATCCAAATTGCTAATGTTATTGGCTAACAAAAGTTCTTCTTTGCTAAAATTTAAAATATATACAAACGTTTTATTAATTATTTATAAGACTATTATTCCTATTACTAGGTACTAATTAGAGGAGACTTCTAAACTGAGTACAATTACATTTTTCAAGATCAGATTTATATCTAACAAAATTTAAACAAATCACCCATCGGTAAAATTTTTTAGTCAATAAATTAAAAGAAATCATTTATTTATGTGTGTATATTTGAATGCGACTTTCGCAAGAGTTAAATAATAGTTGCTACAATTGTACTCCATGCATGAATAATTATTATGACATCGCTTGGATCAAACATAGAACACATAAAACACCTCAATCATTTATTTTTATTTTTGACTTTTAAATAGTACCAGAAATTTAACAGTTTTAGATGATTTAAAAAAAGTCAGATGTCGAACATAAATAAAATATAATATTACGTTAGTAAAAGAAAAGATAAATTGGCAAAATTATGAATTTTGTAACTAGTTTATTTATCAATAAAACTTTTGATTTGGATGACTGATTAACTAAATGCGTTTGTACCAAAACCTAATAAACTTTTAATGAAAAAATAAAGTTTTACAATTATAATAAGAAAAACAATATTTATTAGATAGAGTACTCTGAAAAAAACCAATTTAAACTGGGAAGCTTTATCTTTATTTTAACTTTTAATTATATTACAATGACGAATTAACAGACAAAACAAAGACCCTACAATTAATATTTTTTTGATTTACAACCAATTAAATAAGAAAGTTTGTTAAAGGAGAGGCCGTTATTGTCAAATATCCAATTTCGTCAAGTTATTTTAACCTCAAAATCGCATATATATTAATCTTCTATAAAATCAACGAACGATGAACCTTGTACTACATTATTTATCCTTAGCTATAAAAAATGAAAATGTTAACTAAAAAAATAGTTTTAGAAAATTTTCGTAATTTTAAAAATGTTGTCTAAACTATTCTGACCGTTTTTTTTTTATTGAAATAAATCTGCAATCTATACATTTTTGTACAATAAATAGGTTTGATAAGTGATTAAATAAGTAGTTAACATGAATCGTGAGATTAGGGAGGATACCCAGTGGCCAGTACCCAGTGGTAATACCCTATGAGTTCTGACACTTATAAAAAAACAAATGTAACTGTATTTTTGGAACCTAATGAAAAACTAAAAAAGTAAAAATTACGAATCTACGAATAGCATAATATATTATATTATAACAAATATTTTAAAAATTCAAAATGACATCATGTACCTACTATAAAATACTTATATAAATATTTGGTGACATTTCAAGTTTCAACGATCAGGCATTTCTTTTTGAATAAAACCAAAAATACCGAAATAGAATATTTTGTTAAAAGCTGGTGTTTCATAAATATTTTTCTTCTATTTTTGACTGTGAATATTATAGTATACTTTTTTATAACTAGATCCAATTTTCCACCAGAAATCACCCGCAATAATGTAGGTTCAGAGGCATACTCAGGAATTTTGAATGAGAAGAGGGGTTCAACTTTTTGAATATAATAAGTATAATCAATATCCATTATGAATTTAAATTATAATTATATGCAAGTAGTAAGTACATATTTATTTGTCAAATGACCATGGGGAGAGAGAGGTTGAACGCCCTCGTAGATTGAAACATTGTTACTTGTATAAAAAGTGTCTTTAGACACACAAACAAAAACATACATCATTGCATAACTTATCTATACATTTATTGGTTATTTTAAAAATCATATTCATGAGGTGATATCGTTATCGCAAAGTGTTTCCACGTCCTTATAAGTATATCGTACAGTGGGACAACTTATACTGACGTATTTTGTTTTTAATTTTTTTTATTGATTGTGCAATCAATTGTACAATTATACAATCGTACCCACACCCGTTTACTGTAGTAAATACCAATAATACATAGTAAAACTCACTTGATCTTTTTGATAGACACGTTTTTTACTGGTCTCACAAAATACGATTTGTACATCCCTTCATAACTTTCCTGAAAAATAAAATAGTTATTCATTGTGACAGGTAGGTATACATGTATACATGTTTTTCAATAAGTGGGTAACTAATTATTAAAAACTTACGACTATGAGAACACGTTCTGCTTTATTAAGTGGACATCTTTTGTACATAGCGTACAATACCCAATGAGGCCACCAATGAAATAATAAACGTATAAATCCCAAAGTCAAAAATATAAGAATCCATATAATGACAGCCATTGGTCCACTTCGCTTGTATCCATAAATCTCCTAGAATTTATAAAAATTGCATGTACCTATAATATTAGAAATTAGTTACAATGTTATTTATATTTTGATGTCTTCTTGATACTATTATTTTAAATACTAAAATTGTATAATATACCTTATTTGGGCCTATGTTAGGTCATATTAACGGGAGTTAAGCGTATGAATTATGATATAGGTTTATATGTACCTACTTAGTAAATTATTCAGTTTTTCAATTTCTTCATATTAATTCAAAAATATAAAATAAATAATTCTAAGATGTAAAAATTATAATTAGTAAATTTCTATTTTGGACTGACCATTTCATCGTCTTCTCCAACGTTGAGCAAAGCATTATCACTAACAATTGGTTCTTTCTTCGAATTTGAATTGAAGCCATTATGTTTAAAAACTGCCCCTGTATCTACTTAGCATTAAAAAAAAATTATTTAATTTTTACTTTTTTTTTATTTCTTCTCCTTTACTACTTGAATGTAGCTCTGGGCAATTTACCTGTAGGGCAGTTTTCATTTGATGCCATAGTCAGGAAATTTTAAAATTCCTAACGATCGTAATAATCTGCGATTGTTAACCGACGAACGTACAGGCATTCACGAGCCGTTCAGAAACCGCCTGAATTTGGCCTACTTGTAAGACCGCTATAATTTAAAAATTATGTATAAATATATAAATGTCAATGATATAAATAGTAAATACCAGATGTTAACATAATATAAATGCAATGAGAAAAAAAATCATTAATTTTTAAGTAGGTACCTAGACAAAAATTTTCCAAAAAACTTTCTTAAGCTCATTCTATAATATATAACCATTGATTATAAATATTGATATCGTATGATATTGAGCATTAAGTACTTATCTATTTGGATGAAAAAAAATTATAACTACACCTAAGTAAGGCCGTTTACTACATAATAGATATTTTTATACCAAATATCTATAAATAATATATTAATACTTTGAAAGTTTAAAAGTATTTTATAATTACATGTTGTTACAACTACTGGGTAGAGAAGCTTTTACAATACCTAGATTGGTTTTTATGTTTCTTATTCTCTATAAACAGTATAAACAATAATACAAAATACAAAATAAAATGTATAGATGGTGATTGATAATGCTACATTTCTTATTATAGGTGATCGCTATAACATATTAGTAAAAGTAGTCTGTTATCTTAAATTTTTTATATCTTTAAAATACAGGTTAGGTTAACAATATTTCTTAATCAACTTAGTCAATATAATAATTGCCCAAATAATTATTTTTATAGCTCTAAAACACATTTTTAGCCGAAGATAAGAAATTTAGATCCTCAAGACCAAAGAGAGGAACTCGAATAACACCTATAATTCATTGGCATAGATAAATCATATCGTATAATAGTTACAAATTATATACAGCCCAGGACAATGATTTTGGCTCCAGTGATGTACAAAAAATCATCCTCGATTAAACAGATAAATGTAATATACTAATATAGTAATATGTATACCTTAATAGTTGCGGTTCAGACAGCTAATATACACTTGACACGTTTTTCGTGACTTTTGAGTAAAATGGTTCAAGAAATTAACATGTATACAGTTTGCATAAGCGTTTATCGTTTAGAAGAACAGCGGCTAAATCAATATTATATCAAACTTATATAATATAAAAGAGATTTCGAAATTATTATTTTATAGGACATATTTACTAACAATAGTAGACACTTGTCACAATACTTTGAATAAAATCGGTAGATATAATTATTATAATATTGACATTATAAACGAGAGATAGTGGAATTATTAGTGAATACTGAATAGAATACGCTGTAATTATTTTACTCCTATCAAATGTGTATTTATCTCATATGTCGGTTTATTTATACGTCTACATCTTTCTTCTTCAGTCTTTCTCTCACACAGTAAAATTTCTTCTTTCAATTATTTATGGGCGAAGAGGAAATCACAGTTGTTAATACTTTAAATATTGTTAAATACACATTTGGCACATTTAACACAAAATGTGTACCAATAAATAAAAAATAAAAAACTTTTTAAACTTAATATTAAAATTAACGAAATGTAAACACAAAAATTGTGTGAATAAAAACGGTTACACTTTCAATCCGTTCGTAAGTAAATGGGTATTTATAATTTATAATCATTATTAAAATGTACTAATTATTCACACAAGCCCTGTGAGGATCTGTAGGGTTTCAAGACCACTTCCCGTCAACCACCACTTTTTATCACTGATTAACCTCTTTTTGGAAGCATAAGCTGTAGGCTATATTTAAAAATATACCTATATACAGCATTTTAAAAACTATCTATATAGTTTTATATTAAATTTTTACTTAAAATACTATGTATCACTGCACTCATTTTATCAGTTAAAATATGAAAAATACAAATTATTACCTAATTAAGAATATTAGAGTAACATAATAATATAATAATATGATCGTTAACTTTTCTGAATAATAAATTAAATAATTCACTTGACACTGTATGCACACATAGATATTAGATATAATAGGTAAACTAAAGTTTATGTACTAAATATAGTTTTAATGAACATTATATATTTATATGAATTGCGGTTATATATATGCACTTCAACGATCGTTTTAGATAGATCAATTATTACATTATATGATAATAATTTGATTTATTTTATAATTTTGTCATTGAATCAAGTACCTACGTATCAGCTTATAGATTTAACATCCATTATGTTTACCTAATGAATTAAAAATCCTAATTCTGTTCACGTGTCGGTTATTATATTAAAATAAATAAATAGACGTTCCTAAACTAATCATAGTTTAAACGATGAAAGTATGATATTATGACGTACAGTCGTACAAAGTAAACTCACTGCAAATGGTACGAAGTATTCATGATTCAGACATTTTCAAATATCTATTAAAAAGCGCGTACAAGATTTTTTTATTTTTATACGTTCTACAACTTTTTTCACACTTGTGTTCAGGGGCGTGCCGAGGTGGTGGTTTTGGGGGTTCAAACCACCCCCAAATTGACTGGCTTATTTTTTTCAACTTCGTGATATTTACAAAATAAAAAATAACATTAACATAATATTATGGGGAAATCCGATAATATAATAATTAATATAAAAATAATACAATATTTGACGATCTTTAGTTTTTATTCCCTTTAGTACATTTCTGCGTATTTTATATTCGTGGTACAACGGCAGGTTCTTAACGCTGTTTTTGGGTATTACGTTAAATTGAATGAAATCAGTTTTCTCGTTGCCATATGGGTCTTATCGATGAAATAATAATAATTTTATTACAACGAAAGCAAATCATAAATATTTGTAATCTTTCACATCATTTCTGTAACTGACAATACCGAGTACCGATACAGTATTTTAAATTTAATTGTGTCGTTATGAACGGTAAAATAAACCTACTCTTACTTTGTGTATAATCTTTTATTTAGTTAGTGTTTACCACGATTGGTGATCTGTTGTACTCTTACGTTTTATTATTTTGAAATTTATTTTCATACAGTTATTAATATCTAAAATTCGCCAACATAATTGTACATTAAATTGTGAAGAGATAAACAACGAATTTAAAAAAAAGGTTAGTGAAAATTTATTTTAACTGAAAAAAATTTAAATACAAAATGTATAATTATTGTTTTAAAAAAAATTAAGCGTAGAAAAAATAATAAAAAATAATTCGTCAAACATATTTTTATAAATAAAGTTATAGTTACATATTATCAGGACTCGTAAGTTCATGCATTTGCATGTTTTTTTGCTACACAGAAAAATATATTAACTGAGATACAAATCCGTTTCATAACAATAGTAATAACTAATAATAATATGAAGTTTAATAATGCATGTTTTTGCATGTTTTAGGTGTAAAGGCATATTTGGCATATAATCGTTTTTTTAGAGTTTATAGCCCATTATATTATTTCATAAAAAAATTGTTTGGAAAAATATTTGAAATGTTTCTTGTTTCTTATTTACTTTCCCGTTTACTGAATGATAGTGTTTTGATTTATTTTGATTTTCATGTGACTACTGACTTTTCTAGTATTTCCCTATTTAGATTTTATGCGTTTTACTTAGTACCGCGGAAACAATTCCGTCGTCGAAATGATACCTGTGCAAGCATGTACAGGTGTCAGGTATGTAGTGTTCTTGCACACGCCAGTCGCCGATGAGTTGTTTAACTGTACGAGTCGTGAAAATGTCAAATAACTAATATTTCATTCCAAATATTTTCATTGTAGGTGCACGATAACGGTGTACAAAAATTAGACAAAAAATGACTACCTAATTAAAATCAATAAAGATGACAAATCCATATGATTATATGAACTTCACAAGTATTCATTTTATTAATTTTGGTTGTTAAATATATAAAAATTAAAAGGAATAAAATACTTTTAAAATTAATGGATATATTCTTATTATTTTAAAATTTGCTCATTAATATTTTACATAATGCATATTTTGAGTGCATAATTTAAAAATGTAAGGGCATTTAAATGCACATTTTCGAACTTTTTAGTGCATATTTTGCCAATTTTTAGTGCATGAATGCATGCTTATTTGTGCTTTTTTTAGTGCATGAACTTACGAGCCCTGCATATTTTATATATTTAAAAATGTTTTCCTAAGTACTTATGGCCAGTTACTTTCCATTAGCATCAGTATCAAGAAGAATGGACTTTATTTTATAGATAACTAATTTATTGATTTTTATTTTATTTTTGACTAAACAAATTTACATGAAATATTAAATTTTTTTTTATTAATACAGTATATATTTACATTTATTTGAATTATATTGTTCTAAGTATTGAAGTTTAACTTTAAAACTTTAAGGTTAAACTAAACCATCCCCAAAAAGAAATCCTGGGCACGCCCCTGCTTGTGTTAAGCTAGTTTTTATATTTAATAATTTTTATGTTAAACTTAAGTCGGAATTTTTTAGTTATTTAATCTAAGTAAGTATGTAAACGAATATATTAATTGTTTAAATCTTTTTAAATAATGATAAACATAATCTACCTAAATAGTTTAAAAAAACAGTTATAATAAACTTAATAAAATATTATATACAATATCACAATAACAGATCAACTTTCAACAATAATCCATGCAAACCAAATAAAAATAAGCAGCAATAACAATAACAAATAGAAAAAAAATTTATCAGTATTGTTTTACAATGACATCAAAATAAGTAAAAAACGTATTTTAAAAAAAGTTGAAACTTTTCTTAATATTGAATATAATGACACCTGGATGTATTACTTTGTATGTGCACATTAAATAATTTAATGTACATTAAGCTACATCAACTCATAATTAAAACACTAGAGTAGTGGAGTAGGTATAATAATTATTATTTTGTGTTATAAAAACTATATATATAATACAACATACAATCATGTTCGATTAATAAAGTAAGGTACTATATTATTTATAATGTATTGTTTAAGTGATTGCATGTATTGTATAATGAGTAATGCAGGGTACACAATATAATGTACAGTATAGGTACTACTGTAGTATGCGTAGATATTAAATAATTATTTTATGAATAACTAAAAATAATAAGCAGTTTTAAATTTAAAAAAAAATAATAATTTTAGTAATTGCAGTTAAAATTAATATACGACAAAGAATTTAAATATTTACTCACGCTTAAGGTAGGAGTAGAAAATATCCTAACTGTATGTTCGGATACTTCACTTTATATTCGACACTAGGCGGATACTGAACGCGACGTTCCGAGGGTCAGTAGTTTGATATCTTGGTTTGTGTTTCAGTTCAATAAAATTTGCATGCTATTGTACATCTATACTAGGCTTATGCGTAGATGCTCAATGAGTAGTAATTAAAGCTATTAACGATCTTCAGTGGTTGTTTTCTCATCAAGTCAGTCAAATCAAGGGCAAACTTGAATTTATTTTGACTTACCTTATAGAGACTAGTCTTATATAAGAATATTTTTGATTTGTAAAAATGTCACAACCATTGTGCTAAAAAAAAAAAATTAAATTATTGTTTTCAAATCATATATTCTGGTTAAATAGGTTCAATACACATCAAAGTCACACATATACAGAGCGTACCATTTATTTCGTGTTTCTTTAATTTTCAAAATTTATCATTGAGTATTTGAATAAAAGTTGATCACGATATTTTAACACAAGCAAATGTTTTAACAATTTTTTCTATCGTAGCGATTATTTAGGGTTTATTCAACAAATATACGTCAGTAGACATTTATAATTATTTTTACAAGGCTTAAAGTCCATCAATAACGTAGTTGTACATTTTTTACAGACCACAAGGGGTTATTATATTATCATTAATGTATTAAAATTCAAAATATACGTACGTATCTATAGGTGTCAGGTGTCATTTAAAAGGATTAAGTATTGACAAACCGGCATACGTAAATGTAAAATCCATAATTTGTTTGAAATTTTGAATAATAATTTACTATAGTTATTATCAGTACAGCGTTGAACGTAAAACGGATTATAAAAGTAATCTAAACCGTATAGACCTACACATTTTAGAAACAAATAATTCGTAGTGACTTATCGGGATTACAAATGATACTAACGAAAATATTAATTTGATGGTTATTATTGTTATTGTTGTACTGTTACATTTTATTGTAAATCTCTAGTCGTGCCTAGCATACTATCTCCATACACAGATCAGAAGATCGTTAAAGGGATTTTTTACATGATAGATAAATGCAACATATTAATTATAAGCACTAAAATTGTATTTGTATCTTTTCTTTAAAAAAAATGTAACCAGATTACTGATTTTATCTAGATCCACGCAGGGTTATCACATTCTATAAGTGACCACGGTGAGTTTAGTAGTTTGGAATTTGTCATAAGCATATAACTGTTGCCTATTTAACCTAAATAACTTAATGTTTATTAATACAATTCTATTCATTCAATATTCGGTATTTATGAATCAATATTTTTTAGAAAATTATTCTTTATAATATAGGGATGACATTTTTGTTAACGAGTAGATATACATATGAATCTTATTAAATAACTTAACTATAATAAGTATGTAATAAATAATAATAAGTTTAACTGTATATCTATTAAAATATATTTTAAAATGAATCTTATAAAGCGATTACTTTTGATATTAGTATTGTGTTTATAAAAAAAATATGTATTTATGTATATATAATTCAAATATCCGAAGATTATATGATATCAGACAGAGTGATTTATTATATACATAGGAACAATGCACGTGTCATATTTCATTGTTGTTGAATTTATTTAACTTAGAATACAGAAATTAAAACAGAATTTTAAACAAGTGTACCTGAGGTTTACTACTTAAGTGAAAATACATAACACCTGCATAATGCATGGTTTTCTATAGTTACAAAATTGATCTTGAGCAATAAAGTCTGCCACAATTCTGGAGTTCAAAACAAAAAACAAAAAAGTATTGCTATGGTCATTAATATATATTATATCAATATAACAATACTATTAAAATGATAGACGATAGTATTTTATTTGTGCTAAAATAACAATCGTACACCGTAATATCGTATAACAGTGGATTTGCCATTCAGCAAATTAGTACACGCAAATTATAAATCAGCTGTTAACTATGTTTGCCGTTCAGTATTTGAGTGAAAATTAAAAAAAAAAATTGTATGTCCTCAATATTTTTCACATTCACATTCACATTCGCGGTAACAAATGAATTGTTAGTAACGTTAATAATTAATACAAATTTACTTCGTGTGTATAGTTTTTCATCATGTAGTGCATTTCATTACTCATGTCATTTAGGCAAAAGTTAAATGGCAGTTATTAATTATCATCAATTAACCATGGTCATGACCCTTATAAAACAAGATGGTAAATACTAAATTCTGCATCTAAACTGCAATTAAACAATTGGTTAAAATATATTTAAAATATGTTTATAATCCTCGATGTCACACGGTTGTCAATAGTATCATGCAAATTGAGACAAAAACAAACATTGTTTTCGTTCATTCCATTCGACGTTTACCAGACACAACAGGTTTTAAAAGTGAGTACCTAAACATTTTTATAAAATACAGAAAGCATTTGTACATGCAACTAAGGCTTAAAGTGGGGGACGCTAGGATCTCGGCCCTTAACCTCCGGCAACCCTTAAAAAGCGTCCTCTTTTAATATTATAGGAACCCTTAAAGTTAAGGTATATTAAATACATTGCCTCTATCAATCTGCCAAAAGCAAATATTGGGTACCTATCTTGAATAACTTTTATGTCAAATTAAATTTTAGGTTTTGGTAAAATAATATTTGCAACTTGGTAGGTATAAATATCGTATAGATCTATAGTAATTTATTTTATGATACCTATACGTTGAATACTTGATGATAGGCGATAGCTGATATTTTTTGAAACCATTATCATTCTCCAAAAACCAAAACAAGTTCCATATAATGAAAATATTTAAAAAAATATTCTTTTTCTATTAATTGTGGTTAAAAATGTACTAATTATTTTATTATTATTATTATTATTATTATGAGTAGTGTATTAGTAGTAGTAGTAGTAGTAGTAGTAGTAGTAGTAGTAGTAGTAGTAGTAGTAGTAGTAGTAGTAATAGTAATAGTAATAGTAGTAGTAGTGGTAGTGTAAATATATAATTATGCCAAACAAATTATTAGTTACAGTATGTACCTAATATTACAGCTATTATAATGTTATAAGGTACCTAAACATAAAATATTTTAAAATAGATAGGTATTGAATTATTCATATACATTATACATAACACCATTGAATACAAATATTATAATATAGTACAAGTATTTATAATCAGTGATATTATGTAATCATAAAAAAGTACTAAGACATTGAATGCTCAACGTTTCTTAAAAGTCACAATTCCCCTCATCATTTTTGTCACCTTCGAGTCTTGTATGCAACGACAAATTCTGTGTGTAAAGTCTTTTGGTTTTTAAAATGTCTACGTCCATATTATCAGCTATCTACATATAAAGAGTGAACTATTTTCGAATTACAATTTAAAATAAAAATCAAATTCACGTACCTATAATAATATGAAGCCGGTACAATTTAGTCGTCATTGCCAGATCGATATCGTATAAATATGCGTCCATTTCACGTGTTTGCCGATCAATGATAGTGACGGTTGTCCACGTCTTAATATTGAAAAATATTATTAAAAGAGTTTCTAAAGCAAGCAGAGAATACAAAAAACCAGTTACACAAAATCTCCTACTACTCATACGAACTGTAATGTTAATAATATGACGCATACGCGGGTAAGGTAGGTATTAATACTTGTGAGTTGAGTCAGCCGCTTGCAATAATTGTACATATTGATAATTAAATTCACTCACGTGTATTTGCGTTTACCAAATTAAAGACATTTCACTTTAAACCTATGTGGCTGTAGAATACCTAATGCATACGACGTCGTAGTACTGCTGGCTGCTGCAGTTTTCCGTAAGACGCGATCGAATAATTTTTACCGGATGATTATTATTAGTATAAATTCCATTTGTTTGGAAGTTTGTAATAAAATCATTGTTTTTATCATCAATTATAGTTAAATCCTTTTAACTATTTCCACGAAATCGTTACTGTATTGTGTTCGTTGAAAGTGGGTACAATGTAATGATACATATACATAATATTTTAATGTACATATTTTTTTTACCCGTTTGATAATAAATTATTATAATCGGCATATTATTCAGATTTTACAACTCAAAAAAATATTCTAATCATTTTCAGTGGAATCTAATCTGAGTGGCGACACTGCACTGGTAACTAATGTACTAATTAGCTGTATTACTTATATGTCGGCTGTTTTTATCGTATCGCTGGTGATTAAACTATCGTTAAGGACGTGCCAAGATAGATTGACGTTCGTAAACCAAGCAGACGATGCAAAATATCATCTGACATCGTTGTTCATGGAAATCGTTGAAATCACCGAACAGTATTGTTACACCATGAACATCGGAATAAGTATTAAAAAAAAATTAATAATAACCTTGTAAAATAAAAATGAATATTCATCATTAATAGTGACTTAGACACGCGCATCTGTGGCGAGGAAAATATTCATTTAATTGTACTTAAATAAGTAGGTAGGTTCAATACCGAGAGTATTTTTTTTCAGCAGTTTGAAAATTTCATATGAAAAGTCTGTTTAAAATATACCGAGAAAAAAGTCACTATGACTATTATTTAGATATTATTATATCGCTTTAAACTATTAACAGATATCAATTATTCGACCTGGTTTCTATAAAGGCGTATAAATACGTTAACGAGATTAGCCAACCACCACACGAAAAATGTCCAACAGGAACCTGGTTTTTGCACTTCACGCAGCGCTGTCTAATGGACAGTGTCGATTCCAGAATTGATTGTTCTTGCTGTCCTGTGAGAACCTTAAGTCATCTCTATTATCCTAATCTGGCCACATCAGAATTTTTTTCTTTTTCTAAAACTAAATTCGTAGCTAAAAGAACAACAATTTCAAAATTTAAAGGAATTGAAAATAAATACGACAAAATGTAAAGCCTTAACTTTAGAACGGTTCCAAAACAATAACTGAATGTGAATTATTGAACCATTGCATTTCGACTGGAGGAGAGTATTTTAAAAGAGATACTTTTAAATAATATGCCACGTAATGTTTGTATTTGTTTAAAATAAAATCCCGGTACTTTTTGAATTTCTTAATTTAAACAAACTCCGTATAGGTAAAGAGGCACTACAGAATAGCCTTAGTATACATTTTAGACAGATAAGACATAACTCATTTGATAATCGAAAATATGACATTGTGAATAGATTATACGTATACCTACTATAAAAAAATACGGAAATAGTAGGTAGCTATGGCATGTCATATGCGTTATTGTTTGATAAAAATTAAAACTGTATAGATAGGTATATAATTAGTATAATTCGTATAGTTACTATTTTTCGTATCCTTATAATTTTCAAATTGTGTCACACTTATTTTTATACTTTGTATCCCGGAAAACATGAAAACAATTCCGAAAATTATGTTTCCTGAGTTTTATCTAAAGAATGGCTTCATATAACATATAATTCGACGGTATCAAGTCTTGACAATTTCTAAATAGTAAAATGGTAAAATAGTAAAATAGGAAGTATGATAATTTTTGTTCGCTCAATTAATATCCTAGTCTACTATGCAATGTACTCATGCGTAACCTATACCTGTCTTATCAAAATATAAACTTCCGACACGGCCGCGATACGACGTGTATCGATTATATTAAATCATTAAAAATATCCGTCGTGCACATGTAATTATAGAGACAATTCTTGGACTTAATAATATCATTAGACATTTTCTATAAATCATGAGTAGATATTTATTTAAATAATAGCAACATAGATACTAGTAAAACAATGCTGCGAGTAAAAACTTTTCATTTATTTTACTTTATCTAATGATGTGAATTAAATTTTATAATAATAGTTAAATAGTTCGTATTATTTACGTTATTTAAATGTATTGAATTATAAAACATTTGTATACCCTATTTTAGTATTCCGCGAACCACCGATGCTCATAAATCGTTTCAATATATTATATACATATATATTGTAATACTTGGTAGTCCCATACGGCATACAATCATAGGTATAATATTTTCGCTATAAAAATTAGTTATTTCAAATTTTTAGCGGACTCTTAGATGTTACCAATAGGCAATAGGTATCTCATTCTTATTACTACCATATGCAAATAGCTATATAGTATAATATAAATTTTATAAATTTTAAAGATGTACCTTATAAATAGCCTTAATATTTTAAATTAAACTTATAGATAAAATACTATGACTTAAGATAAATAAAATCCAATCAGCTTTATGACAAATGTATGCCCTTATCAAAAAGTAAAAGTATTTTTACTATACTTAATTTTTCAGTGTTGCAGTTGTATATTTTATCCGGAAATATGGCAGTGGTGATATTGTTAAAATTATTTTGTAACTATTTGATAAAACTAACAACAAACTCGTGTGCATATTACGTATTTCGTACAAATTTAGTGTTCGTAGTCTATCACACCAGTCCGTTGGCATTGTCTGTCGTGACTAAATTGGGCAAATTTATAATTCAACTCAAACATCATAGGTACACTGTTTAAACATACATTATTATATAAATAATATAAAAAAATATCAACTCATTCGATAACTGATATTGTACAGACGAGGAAAATATACGACGACGAGTCCGGATGGTCATATTACCTACAACTGCACTAAGACGTTACGAAACATTGTTATAAAAGATTTGTATCAAGGCGTAAACGTTTTAAGAAGTATAGTGGCATTAATCGCATCAAGTTACATTAGCAACAGGTATTGTACTGACGTGTTATTAATGATATTTATCTGACGTATTATTTATTATTATCTCCGTCGTGAAACAATTCAACTATGAAAGGCTGAACGATAATAAATAACTATTATTATTAATTACCTGTTAGTAAGATGATTGGGGGGGGGGGGGGGGATTTTGTTGCTGCATGGTTTTTAAGGAGCTTAAAAAGTAATAATGTGATTTTTTGATTTTTTGATACAGCTAATTTAGTTTATATCCATTGACCATTCATAATATATTATAGTACAAATAGTACAATGTAAGCTGCAGTGCCATAGCTGGGAGGGGGGCTTTAAGTCTTAAGCCTCTTCCAGAAAAATCAAATTGTTAGCTGGATATTCCTCTTCATAATTCGTAGGCACGAATCAGACTTGAACATATTACAATCCGGTAACAATAAAATACATAGGACATAAGAATTAAAACGAATCGGCTTTAAAATATTACAATCTTGTATTATTGAAATACATAAAGTATAAAACATAAGAAATAAAATACCTAAACATTAAACATAAAAGACATGAGTTTTTTTTTCAAAAACACAAGTTTCAATTGACAACAATTAGGAATAAAAAAGGTTGTATTTTAACATCACTAAAGTTTTATGTTAATATGCCGGAAAGTACCCTGACAATAAAATATTGTAGCCCCCCTTCGAAAAAAATCCTGACTACGGCACTCGCAAACTGCATATTTATAACACTGCACCTACGTTTTAGGTACCTACCTGGCTACCTACATGTATCGTCTAAATATATTACACCCCTTATGTCATGGTAATATGAATAGTTGTCACTTCCATTGTTAAATTAATTATGAAGTAATTATTGCTCAACATAATATAACCTATAGTCTATAGATCCGTCCCGGGATGATGGGGAAAAAAAACTTACCAATTATGGCAAATTAGTCGATGAGGATGAACCGTTTTTGCTTCACATTTTAGGTGCATTTGGGCTCTGTGGTCCGTAAACGTGCTGGACACGAAGAGAACATTCTTCAAGACCCGGTGCTCTAGGAATTTGAAAGTGAATGGCGCGCGCGGATTCCGTATATTAAAATATGTGTATACCTGCGTGGTCCAACTATAATATCACTATTATATTAAACGTCTTGTTTTTGTCATGTTTTCAATCTTAAGCATGCTGACACGTTGAACGCGGCCACCGGGGAAGCCGTCATCACTTTCGCATACTTGGCCATGCAGTTGGGTTTGCGGAAGGCGTGCACTTGTTTTCGGGTGTCCAAAAATCTATTGACGTCGTTTGTGCTAATGTTCATAAATATGACCGGTAATTGCACAGGTCATAATTATTGTTGAAAGCGTATTATTGTTATCATTAAATGATGCGTAAGCGGAAAAGAAGAACGTGGAAAACAATAATATATGGCTTCAACCTAACCTATAACTACCGAACACGAGGTGTTATAGGTACATTATATTTGTGTAGTTGTGTGTGAAAAAGTGAAACATTCCCACGTTTCGTCGAAATTAATTTATATTATTGATATAACATTTATCATCCGTTGTAAATCGTATTGAAAATAATGATATTTGAGAACAAATAGCCAACATCCATTATCATACAGATTATATTATTATTTACTCTCCGAGTTCTATAAATGGCATAGTATATTCTAATTTTCTACTAAATTAAATCATCTCTGGACTAGGTTTATTACTTTAACCTATCTAACACACACACCTAGGTACTGCAGCGTTTTTGTTCAAATTGTATTTAATAAAATTGTAAATTCTAGTTTCTACGAAAACATTCCAAGCATTTATATTACTACACGAAATTCTACTGTATTCAAACTATAGGTGTAGGTAAAATGTAGGTACTCCTCAATCTTAAAAACCTATCAATCCAACGTTTGTTTGTTATTTAAAGACAAATTATAATTAGGCACATATAAATTACAATACGAAATTTATTAATTCCAATTTTTTCATGAATCATTACACTATAATATCAAAATACATTTTATAAAATGTCTAATTCTTATAGTTAAATATAAAAATTGTATAGGTACACTTAAAAAGTTGAAAGTAAGCCGTAAGGTAGCGCAGTAGTACCTACCTATAGCCTATAGGGATCGAAAAGTCCTCAACACTAATAATTACTACGTACATAGTCTGATATAAGGTGAAAACTACTATATGCTGCACCTTATGCAATTTAAATATGCATTATACATTGACGTTTAATGTTTATTGATTCAAATATAGTGTTCCGATACACCGGCGTGCTGATGAACCCGACTTACGCAACAGCCTTAACGTACGGTTGTCCCGGACAAATCAATAGGGACCATTTCATCATTTTTTGGATCGGACCAATCGTGGGTGCACTCGTCTTCAAAGACGTCGTCAAAATAACAAAAATTATGGTTAATATTATATGGCGTCATAATTAAAGTGGCATATGAATGAGTTAGTTATACGCTTATACCTAGCTTTGTATATTTATATAATATTATATTGGTAGATAATAGCTGGTACCTATACCTGCAAATTAACAATTACCATAGTACCATATTATACCACTACATACATAGTACAATGAATTTCAACAGGATATCGATTATACATACTTGCAAAGTTGCACCTCCTATATATTGTATAGGCACAATAAAACCACGTTTGTTGCTAAGACAAAAATTACGTGTTTGTTTTCTATATAATATATATTTTATTATATAATGCTACAATCCTGCCAAATACATTACGGATATTAGGTATATAGTATAACATGACGATAAGACTTTACTTTTATTGATAACATACGCATTATGTGTTAACGTGTTATTGTATATTTTTAACATTAAATTATAATATATTATGCGAATAACCTATACATTTTAATTATAATATTAATAAGTATAAGTGTTTGGTATGGAAGTAAATGAAAATCCAGACAAGTTAAACTCCGCTTCGATAATCCAAGCAAATAAGCTTTTATCGGAAGTTTTTAAAAAAACATTACTTGAAATCTCTATACTCGATTCACTCTACGGCAGTAGTAGCATAAGCGAATATGTTAAATATGTTTTCCAGGCATCTATCGACGACTTGCATAATTTTGGAACGTTAAAAACCTTGCACGCTATAGTCGAGGACAATAATCGTAAACGCGATGACAGCGAACAAAAGAAAGAACAACTACGGTTTCGATTACAAAAAGATGAACGAAAACCAAGCAATGACGAACAATTTGCACAGGAATACGTATCGTTGGAAAAAAAAATACAAATGTTCAAAAAAAAAGAAGAAGAAATTGATTCGATTATCGAGAAGTGTACGGTAAGTAAGTTTGTTGTCAGTTGAACCCAACCGGAACTGTATAAATTATGCCCAGATTACATACAACTTTTCATTAGAATATCTTTGAGACTTCCACACAAATTAACAATTACAAGCTATAAGTCTACAAGTGCTAATATCATACTAGCTATAGTGTATGTTGCAATGCGATTTTTGTTTTTGGTATCGTTATCATTGGATATAGCTGATAAATATAGTATTCACTAATATATTAAAGTCATATCACAATGTCAAATATCATGGTATGTACCATCCAAATTCATAACACCAAAAATAAATATATTTATCGCAGATTATTAGGTACACTCATAACAAAAAGTTTTATAAATAAATAATTATAAATGTTATAAATATTTAAAGAATCCAGAACCACTACGTAATATTTGTTTTACATATTATTTTCAAAATAAGTTATAAGCACTTTAAAAGTTTTTCATTTTTTTTTTTTGTAAAATGATAAATGCTCAAAACTTGATATAAAATTAAAATATTTAAAAAAATCCCAAGTGAATAATATTCGTTCCTTTAAATTTGTTAATTCACCCAAACATCAAAAATTACCGGGTAAAATAGATTACCTATCTATTTTTTTAATTTAAATTTTAAAATAAAATAAAATATAAATGCGATGAGATATAAAAGTGAAGAATCCTCCCGTAGGAGGAACTTCGAAAAATTGATTATTCTGGACAAAAACTTTGCTATGTTAAGTGCAAGTAAGACAGAGACACAACGTAGATGGAAGATGATGCACGTATAGTATTTTAATAAGATTTTTAACATTTTATAAAACAGGTATTCATTTCATATTACACAATAATTTTTTTTTATCAATGAATTAATCCTTACTTTATTAGATAGACTGTGTTGTATCTGTACGCATATAAAGTCAAAAAGAAATGAAGAAAAAAATCAAAATGTTGATTAATTTTTTTTTTGTTCAATTACAAATTTATGGTAGTTAATAAATAACAATTAATATTATAATAAATACTTTAATGAATTTAGTGGTACGAATAAAACAGACATAACTTATGTTATGAGAACAACTCGATCCAGACGTTCAATGCACCTACAATCATTAATCTGTATATTATTGCTAGTTGTTTGTCACTTTCAACGTTCAAGTGACCATAAATAGTATTACGTTGTTTCTTATTATGATTAGCCACGAACTATGATTAGCGAGTAGTTACTTCTGATTATAATAATGCATAAGGACTGGCGTTTCGCACCAAACACACCTCTTGGTATAAGATAACCCATCCACAAAGTGTAAGTTTGGGTATGTATGACTACACATTTATAAACGAACAACATGTTAAGCAATCATTGTAAAACAAGAAGAACAAAAGTAGTTTTTAATTTATGCGTTTAAAATTTGAATAATTTAATCGATGTAAGAAAATATCAGATCGTTGACGGGTCAAAAATATATACATATTATGTTAAAATCCGTGCTTTGATTTATCATGTATTTTATACTCATTTATTAGTAATTATCTACAGTTTCACAATATAACATTTACAACCTAACTATAGAATTAGTGATTTATTTCATTATTTGGATTTAAAAATAGTAAATATAAAAAAGTTATTTATTATAAAGTGTCCTGGTGGCCCCTCAAATCTTGTGAGCTAAAAAAGGCAAGTAACAAACTTACCAACCGAGATCGAGTAGAAATAAAAATTCAACTTAAAATGTTATTACAATTTTTATTTGTATTTAAACTATATCCATAAATAGGCCGATGGAGAACATACAGCGATACGCAGAGAAACAGAAAAAAACTATGTAGACAAATGGGAAAAGGCTAGAATAGAGAATTTCAAATTTAAATTTAAATCTGAAGAACTAGAATTACAGAAATATATGGCAGAGTTACAGACCAAAATGAAAACAGATCAAATCGTAGACGAAGAGAACGAGCAATTTTTGGACTATACTATAAAGGTGAGTCAACATGGTCGAATAAGAAGTTTCGGAAAAAATGTAAATCAACAAACAAATAAACAATTATTTTGTTTTCCAAGGAATTAGAAAAGCAAATCGAGTATTGGGAATGTAAATATAAAACTGATACTAAGGAAATTGACGAAAAACTAGAAAACCTTATTATAACATTGGAGGAAAAAACCAAAGAAATAGAAAGTTTAAAAAAAACAGTAAGAGCATTTTTATTCTATACTTCACTTGTGTTAGTAATTTGCAAGTAATAAGGCGGTATACCGTAGTGGCATTGACGTACAGTTAGATTTAAATACCTAGTAGATTTTTTAATGCATGTAAACCACATATAGTATTTCTATACAATTATAATGTGAAATTATAGTTCAACGAGAGGCAAACTATTATCGAGGAGCATGCCGAAAATAAGCAAAGAGTAGAAGAAGAGAAAAAACTTAACGATCACATGGAAAAAATGGCCACAAAAATTCAAGCATGGTGGAGAGGTACAATGGTCAGGCGTCGCCTAGGTCCATATAAACACCTATCGGGGCCTAGAAAGAAGAGTATCAAGAAACCATTAATAAATAAAGGAAAAAAAACAAAGGGCAAATAGCTGTATATTATTTAATTGTAAATACCTTATAGTTAGTTATATTGATTATTGATTAGTTTATCTGTAAGTCACAACATCCATATGTCCATAAAAATAATTATCTCATATTATCAGATTTTGAAAATGTAATGGTATTACGTTACCTTTAATTTCAATACAACAAGTTATAGATGATAAATTGATAACCAACCAAAATCTGAAAATAATATCTACAGGTTTTAGTAATTGAAAAAAAGTTTATAAACGTTTTTTTTTTTAATAACACGGAGATTTACCAAGGTTTTGATAATAAAAATAAACCTGATGTGTAATTATAGAAAAAAACCACAAATTTCAAAAATTTAGTGTTCACGTCCATAATAAAATACATTATTATATAACTGAATGTTGTGATTTATGACTTTTAACACTAACATTTATGTACACATCAATATTGAATATTGATAGATATAGGTACCTAGTTATAATGAAGTATCCATATAGACTACAATATGACCACTCCTTTTCATTTGCTTAAAATTTAAATAGATAGGTTGATTTATACATTTAATTTTATTCTGTAGATTGTGGTCTGTAAGTACCTACAATTAATAATTATTTCTACATTGTAATGGATATTGGATAAGTGGTAAATAAACAAAAAAGGAAATTTTAGTGAACGAAGTGCTGATAAAGTTATGAACAATTATTATATTTATTTTCATTATGGTTTCGGAGAGTCTTTTCAGAAGCGTTTGAAAATTCTAGGCATGGACCTATTACGACAAGTCGGCAAAAATCCCATTTTCTGATTTTTTTTTTTTGGTTCATAAGTTTTTTATTCAATTTATTGCAAAAAAAAAGAGCAATAAGAACAATTGATGGAATAAGATAGCTAAAATAACATTTTTTTTCTGATTTACGCATAATATTATAGCCCTTTTCCGCCAAAACTGAAAATTATAAGATTTTCATTTCTGCCAAAATGTAATCCTGTAAAAAGACATTTCAGCTGAATATTATTTAAGAACCGTGTACAAACAAAACGTAACACCTACACTAAATATAAGACAATGTTATAAGAAGTTATAAATTATAAGATATTTTAAAATGTTTAAATGTGATACAAAAATATAAAATATAACTAGTAATATAAATACGAGTAATAATATTTAATAATATACTTAGGTCAAGTCAAAGAATAGGTGCAATTAAATTACGGCTTTGAAAAAATCACATAAATGATAATAGTTTTACCAGTTGAGTTAAGGTGTTTATTTTATAGGTATATAAATACACTTTGAGTTGAGTTTTAACGATTTTTACTAGGTTGAAAGTTAATTTTATGTATATATAAATGGGTATAACACTATAACCTAGCTAATATCTATAAAAGTTTAATAGTTGGACCTCACCTATAATATAATGTGTTTATGTGTTATGTATTTGACAAATATACGTATACCTTTATGCAGACGATGCAGATTATATTTCCGGCTTCGTACGTCATATACAAACTGTGGCCTGTGCAGTACAAATATTTAGAAATTTTAGCCCCTAGAGGAGCTACTGAATATAAACAAAAAAATACTTGGAATAAAATCTCAATGTACGTGTACATAAAGCCACTCGAAACTAAAAAATTAGAACACTTTTACTCCTCTATAGCTAAAAAAAATCTACAAGTTACAGCTAGGCCGCTGTTGAACACCTACGCCACAATATAACTTGCATATTATAATATCCCTGGTAGATAGGCAGAACAATTATAATATTGCCCCACAGGGTCACAGGAATGAACTAAAATTTGTTTTAAAAATATACATAGCTTCCCCCGTTTAGTCGTCCAGAGTGATAAAACACCGAATAAAAGAATTTTTTTTAAAATGTACAAAATAATACAATGCATTGCCATTCCCATTCCGCATTCGTATTATATTCCTGTTGTTGTGCACTTTAAAATTACATACATTAACATAGTTATAACTTACAATAAATATGCACATTATTATTTAATACTAAGGTTATGAATTTGTACGAAAATTCATCATTTTTAGCTTACTGTATAACATACATATGATAGCTTACTTAACACACAATTTAAATTTGAAACGATATGAATTAAATTTTGAAACTTTTATTTTGAAATTGTTTCCGTCAATTAATACTATTTGCCTACAAAAATGTTATGAATTACATTTATTTATATTTTTTGCCTTAAAAACTGTCTACATTTGATAGAATTTTATATTTTTTCAAATTAATAAATATACCTACTCGTAGACTGCAGTGTATTTATATACTGATCACTTTGGTATTTTGATGTATTTGCAAGATTGATTAGTATATTTTATAGGTAGGTAGGTACCCACTGTATTTCTCAAAATTGGTCTCCATTTATTCAGTCGTATTAATATTAACCATTTGTATAAGTAATGTCCGTACAAAATGTGTACATCTATGTTACGATATAACACACGACGTTTATAAAATATAAACTATTACTGAGATTCTTTAAAATCATATCAATAATATAAGGTAAAATGTCGTGTCAAACCGGCAACTGGATGGATACTGTGTAACTGGGGTTGCACTTGTCAGCGATAAAAAAGAGTCGAGGTTATAATATGATGAAAAAAATGTATGAGCCAGGGAAAACAGGTTCTAGATTACCCATCGTTAATACCTAAGATAAGATATCAAAAGTAGTAAAATACTAAAATGTGCAGAACGCGAAACAAAATTCAAAAATAATAACGTTCAACAATTTCAGATTGAATTGTGCACCAATGGAATAATATTGTCTTCATTTAATTATACCTATAAAGGTGGTATGGATTATATTGCCTATAAGTAAAAATGTTTTTCGGCTTGCGATAAGACGCGATTCACGGTTTGGCCACCCCTGGTGTATGATATTTGAAGGTAGGTATTGTCGGTATCGTTATATTTGCACTATGGTCTCTCTATAATCGTTTAATAAATATTAAATTACATGTTAAAAAATTGTTTGGTCTCTTAGAATATGATTTAAACAAAGGGGCGTGAGGTGAGAGTAAACTTGACTACTCCACGGCTTAACTTAAAAAAATCTGTGTCCCCTACTTAGTTTGCTCGCAACTCGCAAGTCTTAAATTACCTAATTTGTTATCACAGTATAACCATCTCCGTTAGGTACCAATTATAACTTACTATAGAATAAGAATATTCTACTTCGAAGTAGTACGAGTAACCGGATAAGAAACTATGAAAGCCGAACAGTGAAGTGTATAGGTACTCACAGACTACATAGATATCATTGACTTAGTACCTACTAATATAAATAAATAAGATATTATAATAAATTAAGAAAAAATTAACGTACCATCTACTGCAGTTGAAAACGAAATTTAAACACTTAACTCGCGATGGGCCAGAGAACGTGCCCTAAATATTGATAAAAATCAAATTTGATTCTACTACACACGTCTTTTCGGTAGAGTAGTTTACAACGTACTACACCCACGTCGTATGAGCGTACCAAATACAATAATAGACAGGCGTATGACACACGAGGATTACTCGCCTGAATTAAGAAACAATAAGCGCGTGAAATTCAAGTTTATTTTCCTAAAATTTTAAGTCCATTTAAAACTACTATCAACTACTTTTCTTTTTAATAACGCAAAAACATATATACATCATGTAAATGTGTAATATCGCTAATAAATAACACATCTAGTACATTAATAATTGTTAAATTTGTGTAACCAATAGTTTTTTTCAATAAACGAGATTTTATACTCACCAATTTGTTTTAGATCTAAGCACAATAAATTTGTTTATAGATGTCTATGGTCCGGGTTTTTAGGTTAAAAAAAGTTAAAATATTATGCTAATATTCTCTTAAAATTAAAAAAAAATGTAAAATTTAAGTATGCTTTAGTCTGCAATTTTTTTCTCTCACCAAAAATATACACTTATTGTTAAGAGTCTTGCCAAATGATTATAAAATGAAAAAAACCAACAATTATTTTAACTCAATTTATTCAATAGGTAAATGATAAAATAAATGTATAGAGATAGGTCTCAAAATTAAGAATTAAAATAATAGGTATTTCTTTTCTCTCAATTTACAAAATATTCCAAGATATATGCTAAAGAAACTTAATATTCCCAAACACCTAAAATATTCTGGAATATTACAAAAAAACTTCTTGTAAGCTCCTGTGTTGAACGAATCATCCATATTATCTATTCTTATAAAACTGCATATTATACTCAGTAATAATATGTACTACCTGAAAATCTGGACTCAAGACATAAGATGATTATTTAAAATAATCCAAAACATGACACCAGGAGAGTACATTTTATTTTGTTTTTCCATTTAACCCATCTTCTAGTATACTGACTGTATACATTGTGAGTACTTACTACCTAATGATTATCATTTTAATTGTTACAGTCAGTAAATTAATTTAATATTTTTATTTTGCTTGTAGTCTGATGACTCAAACTTATGATACTGTATGTCAAGTAAATAACTATGTTTGTACATCAGGTTGTTATAATTTTTTAAGCAATGCAAGATACATTCTAACTTGCTGCACTATTCACTGCCCACCTCGGCAGGGAAATTGGCAAACAAACCTTAAACCAGAAACGTTGATAAAAGTATCGAAGTACAAAAGTAAATTTGAAGAAAGGTTTTAAAAGGAATACAAATACACAACATTTTATTCACTTTGCTATAAACGATTTATTTTAATTTACTTATTAGATAACTATAAATATAGTAAGTATAAACTATAAATATAATTGCAACTTAACAAACTTAATAACTACTGAACAATCTTAAAAACTAATTAACTCATCACTAACATACTTTTTATATTTACAATAGGATACAAAAGATGAATACCAGTAATTCAGAGATCACTAATTGTTCACAAAAAATACCGCTTTAATAATATCTCCCCTTCCTCCCTCCTGCCACTAATAATTATAAATTTATTTTAACAAAGTTTCAGTTGGCAGTAGCGAGAATCTCAAAGGCTCACAATAAAACTACTGTTGTTCACATAATATGTTAAAACAAAATAACTTTCAGTCATTTGTGTTGCATTTCATCATTGTCATCTTAGAATATATATAGTATTACATTTACAGCAGTACTTTATCATATTGAACTTTAAAATTAAAATAACATACAATCTTAAGATTTTATTTGGGTAATTCAGGTTTAAAATTTGGTATTGATTAATATTTGAGAAATTAAATCATATTAATTTAGAAAAAATACTAGCCTTGAAATCAGAACTTCAAAATTAAATAAACTGTAATAAATAATTTTCAGATTTGATTCAGACTGATTTTACACCGCATAAATAAAGGTAGATTGAAGAACTGAACAATGAACACTTGTATAGCTTTAAAATAAGTAATTAGTAACTCTATGATAGAAATATTTTGTTTTAAACTATATGTCCAAAACACATTTTCGTAACGCATAATAGAAATCATATTTATATTTAACTGTATTATATTTTTGAGTAAGTGTCAAACATTATCATTGCAAGTCTAATAAATTCAAAATTAAATTTTAATTTAAAAATGATTCAGTAAGACAATAAAATATTGAATAATTTAAAGTTATATTGTATAAAAAAATATAACACATTAAATAAGTATTGCACAATCGATAAAATTTAACACTAAACAAAATAAAAATCATTTATATAGAGTTACTATTACCAAGTATTTTTTAATGCTTTAGTGTTTTTCATGTTAACACTAACCAACTGATGACAACACATGTACAATGTTCCCTACCATATTTAGTATTTATGGTGTCCTTTGTTTTTTGTAAATAGTGAATATATTAATATTGTATTAGACTACATATTACTAAACATTAATTTAATTTAATATATTTATTTCAACTGTTTTATTTTACATTTAAGAATGTAAATGTATTTTGTGTCCTTAATAAATTTATTGTTATTTATCTATAACATTCGGCATTAATAGTACATGTTAACAATGATAAAATATATAAAATACATATAATATATATAAATATATTTATATATATACATATGATATATAAGACCTAAATTTCTTTCGAGCACTATTGAGCAAAAATCATTAAGACTTTTGGATTAAGTACTTAAGGTGCCTTAACAATGGATATTTATTTTCTTTAAATAATTTTTTATCACAGTAAAACAGCCTTTTTTTGTCATAAAGGGTCGCCACAATTTGTATATCTACCTACTATTTTAAGTGTTTATGAATTATCAATAAATAACAATTTTGAACACAGAGGGCAAAATATTTTGCAAGTATAAATATAAATATATTTTTTTTATCGACCAAGATCGTTGCCATTTTTGGATTTTGAGGAGGGGGAATTAAGTTAAATAATACTATAAAAAATCAAAAATATTAGGAGCTGGCCAGTCTTGTTGGAGCTATTTAACTTTGATCATATAAGAAAGCGGCAATTTTGTTTTATTTTTAAATGGCCATTGACCTCATGTCCGAACACATGCCTTCTACCTGAGGGGGGCCCATATCAACACTAGTTATCTGCTCTGTACGACTATCTTCACTGCTTGAAACTTCAGGAGTATCACCTTGGTCAGATGTGTATCGATTGATTCTGTTTCCCTTGTAAGACTAAAATTAATTAAATAAAGAAAGAGATGAATTAAAAATAAATGAATCAATCAATACAATATTTTTTCTTACACTGTAGTTTTTCTTGTTGCTTTGGTAGTTGTTGCCGCCATACCTGGCTCCTCTGTTGTTGAACATCTGATGACCATTAGAGGGGCGTACGTTTCCCTGATTGTGATAAGGATAATTTGGATTTAACATCACCTGAGGAACAGCAGGATAGTGCATTTTAGGAAATCGGTGACGGAAATTTGAATTAGGAACAAAAAATGGGCTGGTAAAAGATGAGTTGACCATAGGACCAGTAGTATTAGTATGTCTGGGATGAGATATAGTAGTTGGCCCAGTTTTATAAAATGTGCGAGCCTCCAAATACTTTTTGGGTCCATTTTTCATGTAGTCGTTGTTATTCTTAATAGATAAATTATTGTTGTTGCCCTGATATTGATGAGCGTCACCACGTTGCTTAGCACAGTCCTTTTGTTCTGGACGCATATTTATGGAAGGTGGGGGATGTCTAATATTATACTGAATTTGGGTCATAAGTAATTGATTGGGTGATTGGTCAGATTTTTCAGGATCCGGTGTAGACGATGTGGTAGGCTTAGAAACAATTGGTTGAGAGACTGTTTGTGGAGGAGGCTCTGCTAAACTTATGACCGGAGTTAGGTGTAACTGCTGAGGTTCAGGTGTATATGTCGGAGGTTTTTCCTCGTCATTTCTAACTACGGACATCAGTGATACAAACTGATTTGTGGTAATTACTTGCGCTTGTCCTACCTAAAGCCAGAGATTCAATATTTCAACATAACGCACACTTTAAAAAGAGCTGAGCGAGAAAATAAAGTCTTATAGAAATAATTTTTACTCAACAAACATAAAAATATACTAAAATTTATACATAAATGTTGCTCACACTATTTTCCTGGTAAACAGGGTTTTTGTTTTTAACAATTTGACTCATTACTATACTTTAAATTACAATATTTTTCTTTATCAATTAAATGTAAATAAAATTTACTATAAGATAACTATGAGGAAAGTAGGAATAGCATGTTAAAATTATTATATTTATTACTTAAAAAATAAAATATATAAAATTATAAATTTTGACAAGATGTTGCTTAAGAAATTGTCCATACCAAATGGGTCGGCAAATAAAAGAACTTAAACCATATCCATTATACTAATAGATGGAGCATGGCAGAGTTGAGTAGTGTGGTGACGTTAAATTGCTTTACCGCTGATGCCATTACAAATAGTATAAATAATTCTTCACACACATTTTTCATCCAATAAATTTTTCAACAATTTTTCACTAATAGTCCTTATATTATAATTATTACTGGGAATTCACTACTTATTCATAAGGAATATTGAAATATTGATGAATCGTGGTATAAATAAATAGTGTGATATGATAATGATTATTACCTATTTACACTGTCAACTACACACCAACTAGTGTGGTCAACTGAAGTGTAGTAATCAGCGAAATTCAGTGAGGAACTACTACCATACTCAGTCTATTAGTTTAAGTTATAAGACTTAAGTAAATCTTCTTCATAACATATACATTTTAAGTAAACAATTCATTTATCTCGGCCAATTCAAATATATTCGAGAAAACTATTATGATTTTGAGAAAATTATTTTGATCCTAAGTAAAAAAAAAAGTGAACTATATTATTTTATTTTCTAACTTTGCTTAAGAAAATAAAATTTAATTCATATCACCAAAATCTATTGCCTATTAACTCGCTCAGTCCCAAAGTAAAATTATTGGAATTAAATTACTTAATTACCGAAGCATCTGATGAAGGTGGCCTAGGATTTGCGCACTGTTCAGTAAATACTGGTTGATGAACAAGTTGAATATTTTCCATGACTGGATCGTAATACGGATAACCACCATCAGAAGTTGCAACCATATAAGGCATATATGGTGACATGATTGGCATTGGATAGGCCATATCAGGAGTAGGTACCATACTAGACATTTGAGTTCCCGGATAATATGGTGTATCACAAGGCATTGAAAAAAGAACCTTTGATCCTTGAGTACTGTTACAAACCTAAAATAATAAGATTTAAATTACATTAATTGAAAAAAATAAAATTATAAAAGTGATTTCAAATTATATTAGTTTTTCTGATCAATTTTTTAAATAATTAGAAGTAAAAACTCAGTTACTTTTGCAAAAAAAATGTAATTAATCAACATTGTTTTTTAGCAATATTTTGGTTTTTCTAATAATAACCCATATTTTCAATTTAATTTTCTGAAGAATACATTTTTAATTTGTCTATGTAGATACAAAAATGGATCACTATTATTTTTAATAATTGGTTATTTTATAAGGAAAACTTAGCAACTATAAATTTAGCAAAAAACTCATTTTTTTCAAAATCAAAATTTGACTAGTTTTCATACTATATAATTGTCTCTTATGGGTAAATTAAATTTGAACTGCATGGAGTTTGAGTATGAGGACAATATTAATAGGATGGACCATAAGGACCCTAACTTATATATCCATTAAAAAATAAATAGTTATAATCATTTTTAGCAGTTTATCACCAGTGTTGAAAAATTTTGAATTTATATAACATACTCAGAATTTCATCAATGTCTAAAATATATTCTGAGTCTGGCTGGGTTGAGCTAGCCAAATAATTGTATCAGATCTAGCTCATACTCTACTCTACTCCCACTAAGAACTATGAGGATATGAAAAATATAGCTTTTAGAGGATGTCAAGAGGATTACTTGTTATAAATCTTTGACCCACACGCAAAATACCAAATTAGATTTCAGCAGAAACAATCTTGTATTGTTAGTTTTAATATTGAATAAGTTGACAACCTATTATTGAATTTAAATTAAGAATATTGACGTGTTTCGTGTTTTTACAATACATTAATTTTTCAGTGAAATGGGTATGAAAATATTTAAAGTACAATATTGTACATGTTTAATACTCATATTTTACCTTAAAATTGGAATATTAACTAAAAAAATTAAGATCATGTTTATACTTTTGAGTTTGATATAAGGTCGGTTCACTCAAATATTTAACAATACAAAATTGATTCTAATGAAAGCAATGTTGTATGTGGGGTGAGAGATGGAAAACAAATGGTTTACCGACATTCTCTTTGGAAAAAAAAAAATATATGCTAATTAATTACAAATAAAGAATTTTTGCACTTGATAAACTCACCGAGCTCACTGGTAAGTTAGGGTAAGCTTGTTGTACCAGAACTTGAGGTACTGGATTTGGATAGAATATAGGTTGACCACTATAACCTTGCATGCTAGTAGCACTTTGTGTTCCATAAGGAGCTAAATACACAATTACAAAATAACTGATAGTTTAATATAATCATAGTTATCTTTAATTAGTTACCTGCATATACATTAGGGAGGGATTCTGTCGATGACGAGTTTTGTTGACCAGGAGGTTGAGGTGTTACAGAAGTATTCCCATTCATTGGCATATTAAAAAAAGCCATTCCATTTTGATAAGTATACATAACTGGTGCTAACATTGGTTGAGCCGGAGTTGGCAATGGAGGAACTGAATACTGCTGAACTTGACTACTATATGACATTAAGTGTGATTGTTGTTGAGGAGAGTTGTTAGAATCATAATTGCTTTTGGTATCCTAAAAATAATAATTAAAATAGCTTAAAAAACATGTTTAATGAACACACCATATTTAAAAAGTATACTTATACAATACTTATTGACATATAAACATTTATTTACATACTTAGTTAAAACTTTTATCAATCATGCCTAATTGGCACTAAACCAAAAAAAAATCAATCTTTTGTTTGGATAAGTCATGATCTAGATATTAAATATTACTTCAAACATTAAAATTATTGGCGTCAACTTAATTAGCATTGAATAATGATAAAGACCTAAGTATATAGAATATTTATAAATACATTTTTTTCTTATATACTATTTTGAGTTAAAACTTCTCATTTTTAGAACTTAAGCAAGCGCCTACAATAAAAATACTCAAATTTATACAAATGACCAATTATAGAACTTTCTTATTGTATAGTAATAAATATTACCTGCTCTAATTCCACTTAAAATTAAGCTGGAATCCTATTTAAAAGATGTGTTGTTAAATGTTAAGTAATCAAATAATGAATTGATCATTTTCACCAATTTTATGGACTATGTTTATCTCTAAAATTCTTAGATAAGGTATCAATAAAACTAATTACAAACACATACAAATACAAACATAAAATAGTTATCAAATGACACCAATAAAAAAAAATGTTATGATTAAAATTAGAAACTTAGCATTACAAACATAGCTAACGCCTCTGGACTAAGAACATACATATGGATACAGCTAACTGCAAGAGTTATAATTGATATCAATTTAGGTACTCAGTTTATTTTGTTGTATAATGTCTCTTTTTTAAATATAGGTACACGCTCGATAAAAATTAACTATGAACTTTTTCATCATAAAAAAAAAAATTAAAATAAAATAACAATGTAACACATACTTTCTCATAAGCAGGAGCTATGTTGATACGTTTGTCTTTAAACATCAGAACGGGCCCCTAAAAAAAAAAAATGCTGTTAACAAAATTAAAGTAAAAATTGAGAAAAGAGTGAATGTAGCAAATAAAATTTAGAAATGACCAAACATAAGTAAGTGAAATAATACCAACTGAATTACAGAAAGTATGTTAAGTTTCAAATATATTTGACGGATTCATTCAAAAATTTAAGTTAACTTACAGCATCAATAATTTTTTTAACTTCTTCGTCAGAGCCAAAAGTAATAAAACCAAATCCTTTAAGAGCACCAGCTTTATCTTTGACAATTTTTACAACTTTAACCTCTCCATAAATTGAAAAGAAATTTCGCAATTCTTGTTCTGAAGTGCCACTGGATAAACCACCGACAAATATTCGGTTTGGCACCATAGTAGATCCAACACGTTTATCCGCCACGTTGTGGTTATTATATCTATATGTTTGTTGTTGCAAAGTAGACAGTTCCAAGTGTTGGTATCTCTCCTCAATGCTAGTATACGTTATCTGTATTGTAACAAGTTATGAATTAGGTTATGAAACAATAGTTTAATTTTTAAAATTGTTTATTCTATATAAATTTTGCTATTTTAGTAAATACCTTGCGGCCTCGTTTCATTTGTGACATAATAGTTTGGCAGTAATGCAGGAAAGAAGGATGAGAATATACAAAGGAAACCTATTTGAAGGAAAATGACAAAATTAGCAAATAAAATTAAAAACTTAAATCTAAATTTAAAAGATATGACAAGTATATTTTACATCTCACAACCATCATCATAATTCAACCCGAAATAAATAATGCCTACAGGCAAGTCAATTTAAATATATTTTATGAAAAATTAAAAAAATTAGGTATACACAACTAATTTAATTAAAAATGTATTTTTTAAACAGAGTTTAAAAAGGTAAGGAGGAATATAAATGCAGGGAAACGGTTTGAAATAAATCAACATTAATAATAAGAAGGTATCTTAGGTTAGGTAAGGTATTGTTTTCTTATTTTGTGAATTACTATAATTTTTAATTATATTATAAAGTAGATTCTTGAACACTTCTCCATAACCACTTTCCCGCAAGACATTTTCAGATCCTGATGAATTGTATCTACTTAACAAAGTTAACATTTGAAGATTGTTTTATTCATATAATATATACCTATATATATGAAAGAGAAAAAATGAATGAAACCCTCAGAAAAAAATGTTTATAGAATGCAAAATAAAAGATTTAAAATTTTTGTAATACTTTACTATACTACGGTGTATTGCCTAGTGAACCACAGATAACACACGTATAAACTGAAATCAATAAATAATTGTGGAAATAATGACGAATGGAGTAGGCAAAAATAAACAATTCAAAACGAGTCGCGTAAAAAACGTGTAGTACAACAAACACTACGTACCTATCTATAAAAATATAGAAAACTAAATATTAATTTTTTTTTTTCCTAAATAACGTCGACGGTGGCTATTGACTACTGGGCAGTGCGTACAAACCTAGTACGAACTATGATACGACTGTGCTACGCGAACTTAAATATCCAAGAAACTGCATTGCCGTGTACACAGACAAGATTGTAAATTCAGAAACGAACAATTCGGTGAACAACGATAACACGAATTCGTTGTCCTGGAAAACTCGTAAACACAATACACGGTAACAACAGTTTTATGCAACAAAATAAAATAAATTCTAACGATATCTCAAACTCATAGATAGACGGACGGATAGAAATAAAGACGGAGAGATACAGAGAGAATTGAGAAAGAACGAGATAAATCTACATTGTTATTAAATTAGCGAGAAGACATTGCCGACCGAATGGGTATTCCCCGATGTATGATAAGAAACTGCCCGGTGGTGAGATTTGGTGAAACATGATAAATGATCACCGCGCCATAAAACCAGTAACGACTGCTTACATACCAGAGAATAGCTGATAATCACCTCGATAACGTCCCGCCATCTCGGCCATTCTAATCACGAATCATAACTCCAAAAATAACAGACGACATGTTAATTACACATTTTTCATGGGTTTTCGATTTCAGGCTTTACCCACGTCCAGTGCACACAAATCTATCTAGCGCCAAATAAATTACAACTTGACCAAATAATACATTTAAAGAGAACGGTCCTGCGGTCGCCATAAGTAGATCGTAAAAGCAATAAATAATACCTATTCGATGAACTAACACGAAATACTCACTTTGTAAAAATATTGTGTTTAGCCTGGAAAGCTCTTTCGAAAGCCGTCTGCCTCCAAGTCCCCGCTGGTCAGCTCTCGTACGACCGGACTCCGGACGTGTTCACACGAAACGGTCGGCTACAAACACACGAAATAAAAGTCAAAACATTTGCAAATTAACATTAAAAATGCGATTCGATCCCAATCGGGTCCTGTTGATGCAACAAACTGCCCAACGATCCGTCTTACCGTTGGTGTCGGTCATCTCGTCGAAACTTGCAGCAATCGGCCAGCGATGTTAAAATCGAACAGCGGCGGCGGCGAAGACCGATAGCGACAGCGGTGAAAAGTGATAGTAGAAGAAGAAGAAAAAGTAGAAGAGAAGAAGAAACTGGCGGCAGTGAAGCGTGTGTGTCGTCTTTCAGACTTTTCTGTGGTGTTGAGTGCAACGATGTCTGTCAGTCGCGGCACGCGCGAGGGAACTGAGCGTTCTGCTTCTGCGTGCAAAACGCGATAGTAGAAAATAATAAATCGACGGTATTGTACCTAATGTCCTAATAATAAGATATTATGGCAAATACGGCGGCGGGCGTACACGACGAAATGATGTGCGTGTGTTATGCGAGTGTGTGTGTGTGTGTGTGTATGTGTGTGTGTGTGTGTGTGAAAAAAATGTATAAATAAATATTATGATCGGACGGAAAAAAAAAACAAAAAAAAAAAAAGCGTACGACTAACAAACGGATTTAATTATAATCAGTGAAAGAATGAAGGAAAAAAAGAAGAAAACACGTTCGGGAGTGAAGAAGGGTATCTGTGGGGTGTGCGCGCGCGCGTGATTGCGTCTGAAGTGTGTACTGTGTATGGGTGTGTGTGTGTGTGTGTGTGTGTGTGTGTGTGTGAAAAAACCAATATAAATAATAATAATAAACGAATAAATATAAAATAATAAAAGCAAAGAGTACACAAACGCGACGCGCGATTAGGAACATATGCGCGGTGCCCGATAGGATAATGTGCGGTGCGCCGTGCGCGAGAGCAGCCTGCGGGCAGCAGCTTGGCATCGGAATTATCGGAACACGCGCGTGGGGGGCGGGGCCCGCGGTTATAGAGACCCGGGTACGACGACGGGCCGGCGCGCGCGAACGCGTGACGTCACCGCGAGTTCGCACGGATGTTCGGCGTTTCGCGAGGGCGCCATTCGAACCACAGACATATGCGATTCGAACGGGTGAGTCCGGGTTCCTTTCCGCAGTTTCGCGTCAACCACATGAGTACATCACCTGCCGACTGGCCACCGAAACTGCCACTTAGCGTGAGCTTACACGCCAGCCTAACTAGCAGGGGCTCGGGGTTGGTGCTCGGTGACCTGCAGTAACCCCCATAGAAGGTTTTTAGCCTATTCTAGTTAAAATCCGAATCATTGCACAGAAAAAAAATCTCTCATGGGTTCAATGTGTAAAGTTAATTAATAAATAATAATGTATTAATATTTTGGATGTACCATGTACCGGTTTATATGAATTATTCTTATTTTATTTTTAATGAATTATGAGGAGTGCGCGGGAGAGGACGCTTTTACTCTGTGATTTATCTTCAATTTCTATCTTTGGTCTAACAAAATTCTATCTGTGACTACTTGACTATAGTAATGCGTATGATGGAGAGTTTAGGAGAGGGCTTTTTATAGATTTGTATTTCGTATGCTGTAATCCGTATAGGTTAGAACTTAAAAAGCAAATCGATTCTGACCTACACTGATCGCACGACGTATCGTCTGGTACTCATATTGTATATTTGTATGCAGACTGACGAGACAATAGTGATTCTCAACCTTTTTAAAGTATTGACCCGCAAATTTGGTACTCAATTTTTTTGCAACACTTAAAATGATTTTCCTTGTGTACACGCATATTGCATAATGCATGTTATGTCTCATATATAATAGTTATGTACTAATGTGTTGGCGATCCCAAGTAATAAACTATAATTAACTTTTGCAATTGTTCAGCGACTACCAGTGGGTAATATAAATACACCTATATACCTATAATCATTATTTCGCATAGAATAAAACTACTTGTGACTAGCCTGGAAATAATCTTTATCGTACCTATAAAGTATAGGTAAAATGCGTGAAAGGTTTTTTTATTTTAATATAATATTATGGATAGGTACCATCAAATTACGGTTAAAACTTAAAAGACACAATGCGAAATATAAAACACAATTATACATGTACTGCATGCAGATATACAGTATAAGTAAGTAATAATTATTATTACTAACATCGCACTTGACACTCGACCAATAATATTATTGTATATTTGTATCTACACCGCTGAGGGGACGACATGTGCACACGTGTTAACGGCAAAGTGCAAATATTTAAACAATTATTAAAAACGATTGTTCAATGTTCCATATTCGGCTCAATAACCGTAATTCGGTATAAGCAGTGCCACACGCCCGAATAGTGTCGTTAAGATTATCTCTATATACGCTTTATTTTGTGAATTTCCCACTTACAACACAACGAAATACGATTACCTATAAGCTGTGTGTAGTGTGCCTGTGTTTGTGTGTTCAATCGTTCGATCGTACATTTTATACCTACTACATAATATTATATATTAATTATATTATTTATACATATTTTGTATAGATACGACATAATACATAATAGTGTACTAGCGTACAATATAATAATATACATATTATTATCTTAAACACGTTAACACACATTCTAATCATAATACTATATAATATTTGTAGTATGTAAGTGATAGGACGTAGTCATGTGATAGTTTTTTTCATTTCGGTTTTCGAATAGATTTCAGAATGAACAGCTACGTGCGTATCGTGTACCTACTATGATACTATATTAGCACAGATATGATATTAGTTAGATAATATTTTGTTGTTTCAGTAAACGACTAAATTATCTCTAAACATTGACGAGAACATATATTTACCTTTACCTATATCTTCTCTACAGTACCAACGCTATCATACATATGTTTTATCAGAAGGTTATTCAAACGATACTTCGATAGAACTTATAATATTTATAATATTATAATAACTAATTTCTTTGTAATCAATGTAATCGTTATGGCTCCAAACAACTACACAAATTACGAATTATTTGTTACAGCTTGTAATAGCATAAATTCTATGCCATAGAACAATGCGGTAATAATATGGTAATGGATAAGTACCTAGCTAATTCTAATTCCAATGGGTCTTTTCCTTAAATCGTGTTACTCATCCTAATAAATTGTTTTATTTTATACAGGTTGTAAATTTTTCAAAAAAAATAATAAAAACCTAGTCTTAAGATAAAATTCTTACATAGGTTAAAATATGCTAAGGTTCTTTTGAAAAACAATTATGAGTTTTCGGTTAACCAATAACTATTTTATACAAGTCATGATATGAAAAGATATTATGTCATCGTCAACATGTTTTAAATGAATTTGTTACATTTTCACGTACTTACCTTCCTATTCGATTTTGAGAAAAACTTGAATATGAATGCAATCGTACACGTAGGGACTAAATGCTAATGAATAGTGAATAGAAATTAATTCTTTTTTCAACTAGAAAGAATGTATTTCTCAGCATAGTCAGCATAGGGGCTTGCTTTTAAAATAAAATATGTTCTAAACACTGGCTGAATCTTCTATCTTCTCCCATGACCTCTTTTGTTTAGTTAGTATAGACGTTTAGTAATCAGTGATGCATTATTTCATTTCATACGGGACTATAATATTATTGTTTCATATTTGTGCCTATTGAATATAAACTACTTGTTTATGTTTTTATTTTTAAAAACAATTTTGAAATGAAATATTAATCGAATACTGATGTTTAAAATTGAAATAAAATATAAATAATAAATAATATTATATTAATGTACGAACAATAAATTCAGGCTATTAAAATGATAATATCATACATTAAATCACTGATATCAACTAGTAGATGGATGCAGCTATATTAGACACTATTATATTATACCAATATTATTGGCAATTACCAGTAGGTAGTAAATAAGTAATAACTGTGGTTTATCGTTTATATTATATGAGTAAGCTGTTTATAGATATTTTATAGATAATAGATGTGGACATGTGGTCTGATATAGATATGTTTATACTTTATAAGGTTATCTGTATATAAAAACCAAGGACTAAGATATAAAATCTTAGTCCGTGACTAACACCAAACTTTAATTTGAAACTATAGTTGTAATTGATAACTTATAATTTAATAATATTGGTGACTGAAGTAGTAATACTCGTTCGTAAACGTTTATTACGATTTAAAAATATTGTAGACATCATATAGGTAGTTAGGTCTATCACTTATCTATTTTGGAGCTAAATATGTATACATTTTCTGTTAACTTGATATTTTCTTTTCATTTTATACATTATAGAGTTACGAAAAAAATAGCCAAATAATGCCTCTTTACGAACCTTACATATCATATGTAGCATTGATTTAGACCAAAAATGTCAGTTTTCAACCATTTTCATACTTTATCAGTTTAAGATTCTTACTGAATTACTTATAACCCAATGGCCTGTTATATTCAATGTGTACTGATTACTGAAAGGCATTTGATAAAGTAAAATACAGCAAAGGCGGATACAGAGAAGCGGGCAATGGAGGCACTTGCCTCCTCCCCCTCGTTTACCAAAAAAATTTGATGTAATATATATTTTATTAACAATTATTATACATTCAGACTTGGTGAAATATAATCTCTCCCCCATTTAATGACATTTTAGCCATAGGTTACATATCACGTCCTAGATGAGTATCAAAATCTAAATAATTTAGAGATTTAAAAACTTTTCCACCATATACCCATACCCAATAATAATGCTTGAATAATTTACCAAATCCTCAACATGACATTGTATATGTAATAATTATTTAGCACCTGATTTTTTTTTAATATTTGGATGATCCTTAACTTTTAGCGGAGATGATCTTAAATAATATATTGTTGGTTACTATCTAAAACTTTCAGTTCGTAAATAAATTAAACTGGTTTTTAATTTTTCTTGAATATCCTAGAGGCCTATCCCCCAGGTTTTGTCATACAATCTATACATGCATACCTAACTTAATATTTAAGAACATGGAAAATAAAGTGTTACTCTATAGAAATTACTCCCCTTTAGCTTGTTATATTCAAATTTATTACATTGTGACTTGTGAGAAATACTAGTTATATTCAACGTTACGTACCTATCGTTATAACGATAATAACTATACCCGCTACCCAAAAGAATGGTTATTAATGTGATATTAAAAAGTATGTTATTAAGTATGAATATTATCAGTTGGATATATTTTAATTATCCCCCCCTCCCTTGATACATTTCTGGATTCACCCCTGCCCGAAATTAGTTTCCAGTTACGGCCCTGCTAAGATGAATTTATCATATTGCCATGAAATACTCAGATACTCTGTAACCTGAAACGTCTTACGTCAAAAAGATATATTAGAAGAAAGACGAAAGTAGAAACGAAATAATGGTAATACGATTAATAAATATGAGAATATGATTAACTGATTAACTGCAGAGTATTTTGTAATTGTATTTTCTTTTCATAAGCAATAAAAATATAAAAATGTGCTAACGATGAAACTATGAAAGTACATTTTTATTGTCAAAATGTCGTTCTCGTTACCAATAAATAATAATATTATAAGCGTTAGGTACCTTACCTAATCACTTTACTAGCTTAGTAGCAGCTAAATTATAATATTATGTACCATTACTTATTAGTCTTACATAATGTATATAGGTAAACATTTTTATCGTAGTCATTTACGTTAGTCGTAGTATACGTTAAAAATAATTTTATGAGAAAACGAAATAACAATATGATGTTAGGCAGAGAAGTAGGTACGAGGTACCTTCTTATAATTTATATTATTAATTTTCGCCCTGAGAACTCGTAAAAATTATTAGTACCTATTCTATAAATGGATACTATTGTCTATT